TGGACACCACTAAAGTGTCAGCATTACGACTCAAAGGAGGAGTCCAAAAAGACAAGATCAACCTTTTTCTTTAAATCACTACTAAGTTTGTCTTCACAGCCTCAGAAATCTCCCTACCACACACCCACAGTCCAACACAGCTGCAGCACAGCAGTTTATTGCAGAGGAGCAACAATAGTAGCTATTTCCCCAATGAAGACAGCGTTTCATAGAATGTAATTTTGAAAAGTCAGAATCTTCAGTGTTAAATCTCCCATATGAGCTAATCAGCAATGACTGGCTGACAATTATTACTGATCCAGTGAAACAGGACTGTTTTGCAGAGAAATAGAACTCAAATTAAAATGAAATGCATACAAACACAAAGCATAACACAGTCCCATGTACTACGTGACACAGGGCCAAAAAAAGGTGTCTGTTTAGAATGTAAGAACAGACATGGGTCAGTAGTTCAGCATTTCTTTGCAAAAAGAAACCCCCAGTACTGCAAAGTGGTCAGCAGGGTCAGAAAAGCGTAGTGTAGTCAGGCAACAGTTCTGCTCCCCAGTACCTTACAATTCCAACACTGCCATTCTAAGGCTTACAAGTAAGTCTCCACACAAGTTAACCAAAATCAGACAATCTATCTGATATTAGAACCTGGCATCTCTTCCAGTGCATGCACCAACATAATCTCCATCTGCACAATCTTTATAACTGATAATGACATACCCAAGCCAGAACAAACAGAGTTAGATTTCCTGATTGCAGGATATCTTTGAAACAAGAAAAAACTAATTTACCTGTAAAAGCAATAAAATGTTAATAGGAATCATTAAAAAAACAAGAAGTTATTCTGGTAGGGCTTTTTAAAATTTAGTACTTTAGTTAAAAATAAAATTCTAAAAAATCTTTGTACTCCCTGTAATTTATGAAGGAAAATTATTAATGAAACGCGTCCCAGTCATGGAGCCCTCTCTAAAAGCCTCACAGAAATGCTACTAAAATGGGGGGTTAGTGGAAGGAGCTTGAAAAGAGACCATGCTAAAACGTATGGAGAAATGCTCCTCAAAACAACTGCCAGAGAAGTCACGCACAGATTTCCATCTCGTGTCGCCTGTTTTTTCCAGAGCACACCCCAGCTCTGCTTTTTACCTTGTTCATTTCAAAACGAAGCTGCTGAATCTGCAAGCTGGATTATTTCCTACTCTGAAGTGGCATTTAAAGGAGTGTACGGGCCATGTCCGTGCTTTCAAACAGAACAGTGGAAGACGAACACGCAGTACAAGACCGCGGGTGTCGGGAATCGGTGTGCGGGTGCCGGCCACGCGCTGCGGAGCGCACTGACAGCAGCAGCGCGGGGTGGGCACCGCGCCCGTGCCCCACCTGTGCCCGACCTGTGCCCGACCTGTGCCCGGCCAGACCCGTGCCCGACCTGTGCCCGACCCGTGCCCCACCTGTGCCCGACCTGTGCCCGACCTGTGCCCGACCTGTGCCCGGCCAGACCTGTGCCCGGCCAGACCCGTGCCCGACCTGCGCCGCCAGGGGGCGATGGCGCGCGAGCCGCCCCCACCTGGGCACACCTGAGCAACAACTCGCGTGGGCAGCCACGAGGGCTCTGAGGGCTGTGCGGGGCCATGAGGGGCTGTGCGGGGCCATGAGGGGCTGTGCGGGGCTCTGAGGGCTGTGCGGGGCCGTGAGGACTGTGAGGGGCCATGAGGAGCTGTGCAAGGTTCTGAGGGCTGTGCGGGGCCGTGAGGGCTCTGAGGGGCTGTGCAGGGCTGTGAGGGGGGTGCAGGGCTGTGAGGGGCTGTGCAGGGCTCTGAGGGCTGTGCAGGGCTCTGAGGGCTGTGCAGGGCTCTGAGGGCTGTGCAGGGCTGTGAGGGGGGTGCAGGGTGTGACGCTGCCCCCGTTGCCGTGGCGACGCCCCACACGTGCGCACAACGCCCCCGCCCCCTCCGGCCCGTGGCGCGGCCCCGCGGCGGTGACAGCGCAGCCATCCCGGCCCCGTGGCCAAGCCAGGGAGGCCCCCGCGGCGGCGCGGCCCGGCCCGGCCCGGTCCGTCCCCTCGCCCCTCACCTTTCCCGCTCCTCCCGCTCACCGAGCGCCAGCGGGCCGGGAGAGGCCCAGCGATGATTCGGCGATCCCCGCGGGAACCAGGCGGACGCCGAGGAGCGCCGAGCCCCGCGTATGACGTCACCGGGGCGGCGGGAGGCGCGCACGCGCCGTGTGGGCCCGGCCGGCCCGGGATCCGTGAGGGGATCCAGTGAGGGGAGATCCCAGACAGGGGATCCCAGTGAGGGCATCCTGCACAGGGGATCCCAGTGAGGGGATCCTGCACAGGGGATCCAGTGAGGAGACTCCAGTCGGGACCCGCTCAGGGCCGGGGTTCATTCTGCGATAAAGACCCAAGTCGTGCAGTGCCACAGGGCTACACAAAGTCTTCCAGGGGCTGTGGTGCAGGAGAGCTGCTGTAAGCAAAGGGAAGGCAGTGCAGGCACGTACACAACACACACTTCCCCCCTAAGAGGCCCCTGTTGCTCTCCAGCCACACCACGACTTGCTCAAAGAAAGCAAATAAACCATCCTTTGCTTGCGGCACCTGTCTAGGAGTTAAAAGCTCTTGGCATTTCTGTATTTTCTCAGAAGGCTGTCTTGCTATAATTCCGCCTAGAAAGCTTGATACCTCTTAAAAATTATTGCTTTCCAGTTTTCCTATAATTTTTGCCTATGGAGGCAAAGAGTCAGTGAAAGCTAAATTAAACCTAGAGTACCACAGTGCTGTTAGATGAGCCTGCCCTGTTCCACTTCTATTGATGCACACAAGGGCCTGGAGACTTTCTGTGAGTTTGGGAAGTCATTCTGCAGCTTACTTTTCTACTCCTATCCAACTTGCCGTCAGCAGGAACACCGATTCCTAAATCCCTGCTCTAAAGGGCTTCCCATGGCATTCAGTGTTCTAAGAGCACAGCACACTGAGGAGGTCGTGCCCCTCATCATTAGGACTGTCCCAAGCACTGAGAAACACCTTCAGGACTGTAGAATGCACAACTACAGCCCCACGGCTCCCTGCACGTTTTGCTGAGATGATTTGAATTAAGAGACTGAGAGCAGCAGATCATTGCTATAAATTGCTGTGCATAATGAAACCACATGTGCAGTGTGCTTCAGGTCTTTAATTTGTTAGGGGCTGGGTGTTTATTAGAGTATGGTACAGTTCTTATTCCCTACAGTCGCCTGGAAAATGAAATACCCCTTTCCCAACGCAAAGATAATGAGTTGTGTGGCAAGATAAGGTGGTTACCAGAATTCAGGAATGACAGAATCCAATTAATTTAACATGAATTAATGCAAGATCGAATTTATTACAGTTGGATGCAATTTGTAATTGAGAGTTCCATTACAGCACGTTTTTACATGTTATCTCCCATCAGTAAGAGATCTCGAAAGAGCAAATTCTCCATTTTGAACAGCAGCAATGTATTTCTTATATCATAAATAACTCTTTCCTGACACATTTGCTGGGAGGAACTCGAGGACCCAACAGCCCAGTTGTGCACCAGGGGCTGAGCTCTTGCTCTTTCTCACAGGGACCATGACTGAGGCTTAAACTGAAACCTGGGCTTCACTTGTTTTGGCTGCTTTGCTGGGCTGCCCCTGCCTTGTCACTTCTTCACCTCTGTCCCATTTGCCACTCTCCTGGGGGATCACCTCTCTTCTTTTTTTGGGTGGGAGGGGTGAAATCGGCCCTCTAGTCAAATAAACCTTTCAACCTCCTCCCTTCAAAATAAACACTTTTATTGTGGACAGTCCAAGCTCCTTAGGCAAAGCTTTAGGTCTCAAATCCAAAAGATACACTGTGTCCTTTTAATAATTTTATAGTGGAAACTCTTTATTTGCCCATTCCTGTGGTGCTGTGGAGGTTTTCAGTGATTCTGGTGTAGGTTTCGGGATTAGGTGAAACCAGAGTGCCTTAAACCTCTTTAGAGGCTCGGGATTAGGTCTGCATCAGGCCTAATACAGCCTTTCTGTGCAAGGCTTAATGAAATGGCAGCAGTATTTGTTGTGCACTGATTCACAGGTGTTTGGCAAAATACCAGAAAACATAAAGGAACCACTGGAAGAATCCTGAAGGCAAAGCCATGGAAACATGAGTATTAGCTAAGTACTGCAGTATCACTTGCAACTGTGGGGTCTTTTAGGCTGCTCCTAAGTGACTTTAAGCATGGATATAATTTTTATGTGTCTCTTTCACATGAATGCAAGCAAATTGAAGATCTGTCGTGCAAATGGATCATGGATTTTTATTTGGGTATCACATTCTGGCAATTGCTGCCTGTTTTATAGCAAATGGATATTAAAGTTCGTCAAACAGCTGATATCACTGAAACTCCATTGTTTTATTGTACACATCAATTCTGCTCCTTCTCTGGAGTCTGCACTGCCCTGGCAGAATATGTTGGATCATGAGGAGATAAACAATAGATTTATGCCTAGCATTTAAACCACCCCGCCTGGCCCAGGAGGCAGAGGATTTGCCTCCCTGATGACCATGGGCTAATTGGAAGAGATAATTTCATTGTGTAGGCTGTCTACTGTGAGGCTTTTTAGCACTTCTCAGTCACTTTGGTGGTGCTGTTTCCCCTCTCTGTGCTCAGAGGAACTGCCTGAGCTGAGCAGAGTTCAGCAAGCAGAAGGAAGAGCAGCTCAGCACTACAGTCTCAGGATCTCTGCAAACTGCAGCAGCTGCTTTGGCTGCCTTTGTAGGGAAAAGCTGATGCCTGGCTCAGTGAAGCTGGGCTCAAAAGAAGCTGGCATGGAGTGATGGGGTGCAAAGCACAGAGCCCACTGGGTCAGCTCCTACAGCTGTCCAAAACCTGTCACTACCTGAGCATAACTATGTCCTCGTGCCAAAGCATTCCTTTCACTGATTCTGTGCCTGTCAGCCCTCTCCAGAAAGTGTATTTTGAAAGCATTTATCTCCCCAGACACACAGATTTCAGTTTCAATTGTAGACTTGCCTGTATTCAGGAAGTCAACTGCATCTCCAAATTTTAGGGCTTTTCTTCCATGCCAACAATCAGTTCTCTTGCAGGCAAGCTTTTCTGCATTCCTATGGCAAGTGTTCAGATCAGCAGTGCACACAGCCAGCTCCTGTCTTCTCGTGTCTGCTTGCAAAAGTGAAACAGAAATAGTTAAGTTTCAAAGAATATGTCTCCTCTAATCAGATGAGCTGCAAAAGAAGGAGGGAGGCTAACTAGAAGGATTTAATAATCTTAGACTCTGTATAAAACATTATTTATGGCTTAAGAGCTACACAAGTCTTGAGCTCTAAATGTAAGTCCTTTCCCTCTTTAATGGTGCATGTAAGGAAGAACAAGAGAGAAATGTTCCAGTCAAGGACAAAATCATAAAATAATGAGCAGAAGAAGAATGAAATGAAAATATTAGGGGCCAAGGGAGGCTGAGTGGGAGTTTGTCTTCATACATGATTGATCTAAACTTGAAAAGGAAAAAAAAGACTCCTCATCATTAAACGAGCTGGTTATTTGAGCATAAATAACAGTCTCATGTCAAATATGTTATTTCCAATGGAGTCTTTTTGCTACAAAACCGCAGCATTCTCAGCTCTAATCTCCTCAGATAAAACAATAGGGCTGGTGGCTGTGAATCAGCACTTTGAAACCAACCTCTGAGAACAGCAACACGTTCAGGGTGAGGAGACACGGAGGAGACAAAGAGCTGCTGTTCATAGAGCGCTGCAGAGCGAGCCCCACCTCGCCTGCCTGGAGATGAGCTCTAACACCCCAGAGCTGTTCTTCTCTCTGGGGGCAACGTCCAGCTCAAGGGACTGGGGCTAATCACGTACCCGTGTGTGTAGTCCTAATCACGTACCCGTGTGTGTAGTCCTAATCACGTACCCGTGTGTGTAGTCCTAATCATGTACCTGTGTATGTAGTCCTAATCATGTACCCGTGTGTGTAGTCCTAATCATGTACCTGTGTGTGTAGTCCTAGCCATGTACCTGTGTATGTAGTCCTAATCATGTACCCGTGTGTGTAGTCCTAATCATGTACCTGTGTATGTAGTCCTAATCATGTACCCGTGTGTGTAGTCCTAATCACGTACCCGTGTGTGTAGTCCTAATCATGTACCTGTGTGTGTAGTCCTAATCACGTACCCGTGTGTGTAGTCCTAATCATGTACCTGTGTGTGTAGTCCTAATCACGTACCCGTGTGTGTAGTCCTAGCCATGTACCCGTGTGTGTAGTCCCACAGCAGGCTGAGCTGTCACTGGAGGCAGGGGCAGTGAAACACCAAATCCTCGGGGATGCTTGGGCTGTGAGGTTCCTGAGGAAGGGCGGTGAGAACCGACAGCCGGGCTCTCTGTGCCAAAAGGAGCTCTCCTCCTTTCCCAACCCATCTGCAGCCCCATGGCCATGTCCCCTCCCTTGGCTGGCCCCAGCACTCACCTGAGGAGCGTCAGGGCTGATGCAAGGCAAGAGCATGGTGCCAGGAGAGGAGAGGGCCTGGCAGGGAGAGCCCTCCCACTGGCAGAGACCTGCCCTGAGCGGTGGCACCGAAAGGATCGCGCCAGCCGGGACACAAAGGTTTCCCTCCAGCAAATGACATCTCACCTTAGGCAGGAAGCTCATTTCCCTCCACAACCACTGAGGAAAAACAGTAACATAACACACTTAAACAACAAGCTTTGAAATCCAGAAATGCCATCCCATGGGAAGTGGAAGAAGACTTTGGTCTCAGCACAGCCCCCAAGCTGTTCTCAGACTAGAAAGACCTGCACTGGTGGTGGGGGACGTCTCGTGGCAGCGAGACCTGGAGCAGGACCAAAGGAGGAAACACTGTGGCATTTGCATGCTCCTATGGGCTTTAGGGGCATTGTCTGTAACTCAAGAAAAGTCCTGATCTTTTTGAGCCCCTCTCAAAAACAGAGAAATGAACTGTGCATTGTTCTTCTCAAAGGGATCACTGTAAAATGGCCTTTGGACATGGTCTGGAGGCATCAGCTGCACAGCCACCCCACCAGCGCTACCCTCGAAGAGAGAGACGTTGACAGGATGCCAAATCCAAGCCCTCTGACAGAAAAGGGCAAACCTTTATCTGGGTCCAGCTGCAGAAGCCCATGCTTTTGTTAAGTCTGAACAAAAATCTTTGATCCAAACATACCCACTTTTTAGGGATTCCAAACTGAAGTGAAAACACAGCAGTTCCACCCTAGCTTGAAACACAGCCTCCCATCTTTGATTTCTGAGGACAGATCATTTTTCTTGGGGCGAGGCACGTGGGCAGCAACAGACACCTCCTGTCTGGTTCAGACAGGCCAACCAAAAGGCTTAAGTGGACACACACACCACCACCAGCATGTGATGGGATTTAGTGTGAGGAAACCAAACCCCCTGCCCCACCTCCTGGGCTTATCCTTTAAAGAGCAGTCCTGTGCTCACAGCTGGAGTTTATGTGAGTCCTGCCTTATTAATTAACTGAAGCCAGTGCCTTTTCCCCCTGAATTCCAACAGAAGCAATTAGAAAGCAGATACCTCACACATAACAGCTGGTTCTTTTAACCCCCTCCCCCAGCCAACTCATGTCCCCCTTTTCCATCCTTTCATGTAATGGAGAGGGAGAGTAAAATGAAGGTGGCAAAAGCAGGGGCACCAGATAACCACGGCCTTATAAAATCATCCAGTGTAATGCTGAGAGTGGGGGGCTGTTGTTGAGCCCACACTTCTGAGCAGGGAATCGTTACATTCACCTAACAGATGGGAAAACAAGCCTTGGCTGTCTACTGTGTCCTCCTGAAAAGGGGATCTGTATCAAAGTAGCAGCATATTTTCTCCACTGAAGGCTGTTGATGTCATTAGAGCGAGTCTCGTTTTTATTTAACACCAGAGTTAAGAGTCACATAAAATTGGCACAGGTGAAGAACCAGGCCCATTAACTTGTGCAACGTGACTCTCTGGGAATTTCTGAATGTTTGTGCACCTCCAATTTATTTATGCTTGGGCAAAGCAGCCCAGAGCCTTTCCTCCCTGCTTCTCAGCATGAATACAGCCTCAATCCTGCCATCAGACCTGTCAAAAATCCACTCAATCCACTGAATTTCCCTCACTCCCAGGAAAGATCCAAGTACAGGAAGGGCAGTGCTGTCCCTCACTGTATTCCATGGGAGATGCTATGGACATAAAATTAAACCAATGGCTGAAAACATCCACCCTAACACTGAAAGTGAAATCTGCCCTGGCCAAACTACCTTGAGTGCATGTTCTGCTCCCAAACAGGTACTCTTGAGGCTGGATCTTCACTGAAGGCACGTAGAGCTTTTCAGAGGGAAACCAAGTCCAGGGGAATGGAGATTAATTTGCCTCTGCAGGGAAGTAATTTCAGTGTGTTTGAGGCAAAGGGGTCACAACATTTCTTTTCTGAGCATGGCTGGCATTTAATGTAGAATTTATAGGTAAGATAGAGATCTGGTCCCCCACAGGGCATCTGCTCATGGCATGCAGGACTAATAACCAAAGTGTGGACAGCCAAAGTAGCCCAGTGCTGTGAGGTTTTCCTGCTAATGATTTCCCCCTGGTCCTGAAGTCAGGCAGCACTGGGAGGACATCCTCACTTATGTCATGGGCAAGATTTAGGTCCAGCCATAAACTTCCCATTTCTGCCCTCAAAGAGGTAGCTGTCAGAGGCTGCTATTGCACCAGCCACCCAGATGTTTGCCATCTTTAGTACAAATTTTCGTGAATCTTACAACACCTCCACACTCTACAGCAACCTGACGATGTAGCTATCTAATACTTGCATTACAGACATGGGGAACAAGTTAGGAGGGATTAAATGCTCTGCCCAGCTTCCCACACGACAACACAGGTGTGGCTAGAAACCAAAACTGCAAGCTTCCAATTTCTGCTGCATTCTACTAATCTCTTTATACGCTTTTTTCTAAAAAGAAAAGAAAAAAGTAAAACATCATCATTTCTGTAACATGTTTGTTGGTAACTGGTATGGGTACTGCTAACCAAACATGAAGATCAGCGTATTTTAAGAACTGTTACAGCTGACTAGTCCGCTGAACCTCGTTTTTTTTCCTTCTGGACCTTTCTAGAAGAAGAAAAATAGAAGGGAAGGGCATCCTTTTATAACTGCAAAGGCTCCAGCTAATGAGAGCAGAAATCACATTTCATATTTTGGCAGTTAGTGGTAAACACTATTATTAAAGCTATAATAAGACCAGCTAATGCTGTATGAAATATTAGTGATGTCTGAACACAAAGTAGAGTCCCCATCTCTTTAGTTAAAATTACAAAATGATTAACAGCCCAATTAAAAACATTTTTGTTTTTGACATGATAAATTATCCTTTATCTTCCTATCTGTGGATATAATTGATTATTTTATCCGTTTGCTGTTGGCTGTCATTAAAAAAGACAGATACCATGGCTTTCTGGCCTCTCTCCCGCTGAGAGAAAGAACAAATCCTGCTATTAACGACAGACAGGATCATTATGAAAAAATTCCATTTGCCACTAGGCAACATAGCCCAGTTCCAGTAATTATTGTATTAGTCAAGCCGTTGAGAAGTTCCATAAAATTGAGAGAGTTTTTAAGGAGCATCCAACATTATTTGGCAACTTTTGTGATGTAACAATTAAAACCATGCTCCAGGCCCCAAAATGTGCAGGAGATTGCCAAAATCAGATAAAACCTTAGAGGGCCCCTGACTCGCAAAGGAAAAAAAAAATCAAACTGTTTACTTTTAGGATCAGACATTCATCAACGTTTGGCTTTTGTTTCAGCCGTGTCAGATAATAACAGCACCACGTTTTCAGTCAGCTTCTAACACAACTCCCCAGCATTCGAGGTCAGCATTCAGGGCTGACAACAGCCTCTCCTCAGGAGAGGGAATCTTATGGCAGCTGATGCTACCAGCTTTTCTTGGCAGATCAGATACCTGGGAGCACTCAGCAGTACCTTCTGCAGTGAATCATGTCTGCTATCCACCAGTAAGCATCGGGAAATCACTGGAGAGGAGTGCAAGTTATTCCTTCCTCTAGGAGCTGAGCCAGGCAACACCTCCAATTGTCAGGGCTGCAGGGGATAAAGCAGAAGTCCTGTCCATGTACCCCATTAACCTGTCAAGGAACTGATAAAATATTTAAATCACGCTTTAAAACTGCTAAGGGAAATTGCTACTGAACAAAACTTACAGCCAAGTTTATAATCTCCTTACCTCTCTCCTGAGTGGTGTTCAGAAATAAGGATGCACAGTACCCAAACCGAAGGTACAGGGTCAGGCTTCTGCAGTGGAAGGTGAAATTGGTCACAAAATGCAGACCTGGTGTAGCCTAATACAGACTACAGGAAACACTTCAAGAGCACATCAGTTTGCAGAGAAGTTCTTCCCTTCCTAGAATAACGTGCCTGAGCCTGAAAAACCTCAGTGTGTCAAAGAACTGTGATGGCAGCAGCAGTTTCCATGGCAGTCAAAGAGCTGGGATCTGAACACAGGACGAGGAGCCAGGATACTGCTGCTGTCACTGGGGAACAGCAGCAGGGCAGGGTTTAGCACCAGCACCCTGCCAGTCTCCAGCTGGAACATGCTGCACCAAGGAGGACAGATGAAAAGATACCCTGGAGCCTGCCTTTCATCACACAGCTCCCAGCCTGCAGATGGGTGCCAACTGTTGGGGCCTGCTGACCTATTTAACAAAAAGACCAGCAGTGCAGCCCTCAGCACTGCCCAGGCACAGGCACCGCTCACACCTGGCACAGGGAGGGCTGTGGGAGAGCTCCTCTCCCCTGCTGATGCTGGAAGCTGATGCTGGAAGCTACTGCCACGTTTCCCAGCACATTTAACCTCTGGTTTGGGCCTGGCAGTCGCTAGGGTGTGGTGAGATGTGTTGCTATGGAAGGATAAAACCCTGAATAACTATGAGTGGCTTTGGGGAAACACCATTGCCTTGAAGTTTTCTTCAGCAGAGCTAAAGCAGATATTGTGGAAGGATTCAAGTTTCTTGCATTTGGGGCTCTCATTGAAGTGAAGCATCCTAGGTCAGCTCAAGAACTTAGGTCAGTAGCTGTCAGTGTGAAGAATGAATTCTTTCTCTTGAGTTATATGAGTAAATTGTGCCAAATCTTCAACATATTAGAAAAGTACCAGATGAAGACTTAGGAAGGTTTTTTTAATATATGTTCCTTATTAGCATTAAAACTTTTATTATTAAAAGAGTTATATTACAACATATATGCACAAGATCCATATGAACTTAAAAAATAATTTGAAAAATAAACAATCCTAATATTTTTTGTTAGTCTCTCTGGCTTACAGCTCACATGAGCCATCAGTGAGGAAAATGCAAACCCCAGCACACAGCAAAGGGAACTCAGTGATGGAAGAGGGAGAGTGGAGTGCATTGTTTGTGGGCATTGTTGAGAACAAGATGAACTCACTGAAAAAGATGATAACTGTGTAATGAAATTGTGGACTTCAAATCAAGGGCTAAACTCCCTGATTCAGCCATCTCCCCTCAGACCACTCCTATATTTTCCCCGTGGACTGCAGGGACAAGCCTGAACAGTACAACCAGTTTCCACCCCGGCCTGGCTGTTCAGTTTGTAGGTGTTTGCATCTCCCTCCAATGTGTCAGCTGGCTGGTGCTGTTTGTTCAGAAGGATGCCAGATGGGTAGTACTTTAGCCAACCTGATTTCCAGATAACTGATTTTTGTAGCTACCACTTTAATTAAAATAAAAAACACATGTAAAGGACAAGTTTATCACCTGCTGACACGTACCATGGTTGTCTCTCTGTCACTCAGCAAGCAGCAGACAGAGCTGCAGACTTCTCTTCCACACCAACAGCATCCAGAAGGAAAAAAATCAGTCCATCTGCTAAAGCAATCAGGTCCTTGTGCTTCCCAGCATCAACTCCCGTTTCCAGGATCCAGTGCCCTCTGCTGAGAAGAACCAAAGTAAGCATTAACATGTCCCGGGCCCACACAGGGACTGCTCACGTTCAGCAGTATCAGAGCTGAGCAGCTGCAAGTTCACTTCTCCCTCCATGCCCACACGTGCACCCACTGCCCCATGTGCCACCAGTGCCTCCAGGTGATTGGAAAGCAGCACATGGAGAGTGTCTCTGAGCAACTTTGCAAAGGCTACGGAGCTGTCAGGACTAACATGTCATCTGTGGAAGGGGAAATCCATGTGGACATATGGTAGTCATGAGTGCAGCTGGACTAGCAACCTTGGCAGGCTTGAGTTGAACAGAAACGTTGCTGCTTTGCCTTGATCTTTATTTACAATAAACTGCTGGGCTCCAGCTCTGTTTTCTCTGGGAGCAGCCCCGGCGTTCCTGCGCCGTGTTCCGTCTCATTGGTGCACTGACATATTTACAGGGGGCCGGGCCGGGCAGCTGGGAACGAGGGGCCATATATCAAGGGAGGAAAAAGGGATGCAAAGATGAATTTTATGAAATGCTTTCCATTTCCCTTTGACTTGGGTGTGCGTTTTGCCACGGCCCATTGGGCGCTCACTCAGCGCTCGGACACTTTGCAGTCTCGCCACGGTTCCAATTGTGTCTGCGTGCCAAGCCCAGCCCGGCACCTGAGCAGCCCACGGGGAATGGAGATCCAAAACAAGAGAAAGGTGGCTGAGGGAAATGTCCTGCCCTTCAGTGCCGTGCACCACGGGAAAGGGAGCGGTGCCTTGTTGGTCACCGGTCCTGTCCGATTCCCGCAGGACACCATTTACAGCCGAGGGCCAGGGGAGAGGAAACATTTCCATGGCTTTGGGACAGAAAACAATCGAGTCCCTTCTGCAATTTAAGGAGGTTGTATCATCTTTGATTTCTTCTCTGGGCAATGAAAAGGGTTAATTCCTCACAGTGTTGACTTAAACCTTTCCTGTTTCCCAGTGGCTGACTAATAGGTTAGATGTGTTGACTCTGTTTAAAAAGACAAGCTTTGGACGTAATATTAATGATATTGTGTGTGGAATAACATTAGAAAACAAACACAGAGGCACCTGGGGAGTCTGAAGGCATCTTCTGGCCTTTCTGGGCTGACAGCACAGAGTGGCCCTCCAACATTTCCATGTGGAAAAACACTATCTAGCACGGGACAGTTTACTTTGAGTGACCCTCTTGCCTTTCAAACGATGAGAAGTCAGGACCGTTATGGAGCTGAAAACTTGTTTCATAAGAACAGACCATTGCTCAACCAGCTGAAGAGGGGGAAAAAATGTAAAAAAAAAGGGAATCCAGAGAAACAATTGGAAATGAAAACAGGAGGTTTGAATGGAATAAGGGCTGGGGTCTTTCCTCTGGCACTGACGTCCTAACAAAGGGTGTGAAAGTTTTTTCCCTTATGTTTTTGCAAGGCAAAGATGGGAAGAGAGCACTGTTTGTTTATTCATTTGTCTTAGAGCCCCACTAGCACAAAGAAGTCACTGCAAATACTTATGCAGGGCTCAGGCTGATCCCACTGGGATGCAGGAAGCGCATGCTCCCTGGATACGCTGTGGGATCCAGAGCAGCGTGCACAAGTGCTTATTTCCCTGCACTGTCTATGAGGAGCTCTAGGGCAGTGAAGCCCAGTTCCACCCACATCACCACCTGAAGGCAAGGAGGCCTAACCGATCCCCTGGAGACCCTGCCCAGCACAGGATGGACAAGGCCTTGGCACAGGCAGTGTCACTGCAGAGATCTGTCAGGCTTTGTGCAGGTGTCCCAAACTAAGTGTCACAGTACAGGCAGAATAAACTAGATGCCCTGCTGCTGACAAACCATAGCATTTTCCTGGTACAGCTGTGTTTGAATGGAGCTCAGTCAAGGCACTCTCACCTTGGATTAAGAGCCATCAGTTCCCAGGAACAAATTCTTCTCCACTGAGTAGACTGTCTGTCAGCACTCCTGAAGAATCCCCTCAGATGGTTCCTTGGAACTCTTCTTTGCATGGTTCCAGTACCTGCAGCTGAAGGTGCACTGGAAAGGAGCAGCTGAGGTCACCAAGCTCAGAGCTCAGCAGGAGCCTGGCAGGGATAAAAAGACAGTCACCACGTTAAGCTAAGATAGTTTAGTGACTCACCCAAGATCACACAGATGGTGCTTACACCAAGAATTAGACCCACCAAGCCATCCAACACCTCTAGATTACTCACTGAGGATTAGAGTCCATTTAGGAGTCTATTTTAATATATAAATGTAGGATTTGGAGCTATGATGGAATGGGAAATTAAATACCGAGAAGTCTGTCACATCTCTGTTCAAAGCAGCCTAACATTTCATGTAAGGAATTACATGCTTCAGACAGTTGCAATCATCTTCTGCACAAATAATTGAAGCTTACTTCATCTGTTGTATTCTGATTTAAATTTTTATTGGAAATATAAATACCTATGTCGGTCACCAAACCAAATAAAACAAACATATTGAGTAGGGTCTATTATAGACTAATATGGAAACAAATAATCTGCAAGTCTGGTTTTATTTATAAGCTTATTTGAGTTTTTACTCTAGGCTCATATTAATCGGGTTTGTGGTTTCCACATCTGTACTGCTGATGCCCAGTGCAGACAGCATGCCAAGTCAGACCTGGGCATCCTCCAAGCTCCAAATGGAAAACATATGGAAAGCCTCAGCTCCAGCTACCTCAAGACAAGCAGGGCAAGTAACCTCCCAAGTAACCACAGCGGGTGCAGCGGCGAAGCAAAGCTCTGGGGAGCCTCTGGAGGTGCCTGCTCACCAGTTCTTGCCTCTGCCCTGCTCCAGGGGCAGCCAGACTGCCGCCTGGGCTCCAGCTGCTCTCTGATCATCAAGAGATACCAGTTCCCTTCACAGCTTCCCCCTCCCCTAGCTGCAGCTAGGAATTCCAAACTGGACCAGCCAGCTCACAGTGTCAGCCAGTAACACATATTCTAGAGGAAGATGGAAGAACTCTTGCAGATGATGGCAGTGCAGGATGAATTCTTTCCATAACCCTTGATTATATTTTTAATATTTATAAAAAGCATTTCAAATGTTCACAAAGCCATAAATATATATATGTAAGAAATGCCCATGCCCCTTGTCAAGCCAAAATGGATCCAGCTGTGCTGTGGTGCTGGTCTCTGATTGCGGAGAATCCCTGCATTAACGAAAGATGTACAAAGGGAATCCCAAACCAGAAATATGATCTCTGCTAAAGACTCTTCAAAGACACTATTAAAGAATATTTCAGGGAAGTACATGAACAAAAAGCTGATTGTCAATACAGCTGAGATCCAGTCCTGAGAACCCATCTCCACGAGGGCATCTGCACTGCTTGCAGACTCTTTTCAGAGCAAGCTGCTTCCAGACAAACTTTGCTTTGTGCTGGAACATCGCCAGAGCTTTGTGCCAGTGGAGCTGCATCACTGCAAACCCATTCACGGAGCCCCACAGAACCCCAGGGCAGCAGGAGTGCCAGACCTCTCCTTCCCTGAGCACAGGAGGAGCTGGAGCAAAACCACATCTCTGACAGGAGCGAGAGAAAAGTACCAGCATTGCTGCTGTAAACACTAAAAATCTGCTGAAGGTATTCAAACTTATTCCCTGTGTACCCTCTGATGGCCACCCAGCAGCCTCTGCCCCCTGCAGCAATTATCTCTTTCCTGACCATTTTGACACAGTGATAAACAGCAGTGCCACAAAAGATGTTTTTTTCAAGTTACTGTAGCATCATCTGTGCATGTTGCTCATACAGCAACACCATGATTAGCTTTAAGAATTCAGAGCAGGGAAAGGGGAGTATTGGGGAGGGGATAAAACATTAACACAGCCCCAGTGCCCCATCCATGCCAAAGGGAGTCACTGCCATCCACCAGCCCCCTCCTCAGGGAGCTGCTTTGCCCAACACAGCTGCTCCACTGGCTCCCAGGCAGGAGCAACTCTTATGAAACTGAGATGGCAAAAATGCAGTGTCTGATAACAGGAGGTAGATCTGTCATCAGCACAGAAAGCAGTCATTCCTTGTGGCAGTGGCTGGAGAAAAGAAGATGCAATTAACAATTAGCTTTGGTAAGAGAAGACAAAACCCTTAACACATAGTTTCTACTGCAGCAAATCAAGCCACAGACTTAAGAATTAATGGCTCAAAGTCTTGGTTCTTGCCTTCCTAGATACACTAGAAGATGAAAGAGAGAGTGAATTTCCCCTGCCACTTCATTCTGGCTAGCTAAGAATTGGGGCTTAGCCATGGAGAAGGGCCAACCTTGCAGCAGTTACAGGAAATGAGAAGAGCTTTGCAGCATTTCCAAGCAAATTCAGCACACCTTCAGATTTGTATTTTAGGCACAAAGCTCAGGCTTCTCACTCTAGAAAGCAACACTGAAGCTCTTCAGTGGGTGTTGCACTATCTTCCCTTCCCCTCCTCCTCTCGCAGCTCCTCAGTTTCTGATGTTAGAACCAAATTCACACAGAGCTCCAGGTGTGCCAAACAGGCTCTGCCTTCATAGGTTTGCCCTCGGAGTTGCATCTCCCTTCTCCCAGACTTGGTTAATAGTTCTGGGAAAACACAGTCCTGCCATTTACACTGTTCACATACATAAGCTGCAGGTTTATCTCCACTGCTGTCTCCTCAGCCATTCTCTTGGAGCCTGCTGTAAGTGCAGCCCTGGCAGCAGCTGCCCAGGAAGCTGTGTCCCCCAGCAGGGAGTGTCAGCTATGCTGAAGTGCCAGGCATGGCTCAGGGGACATCACTCCTCCAGGGGTCACGTGCATACTGTCAAGTGCTGCCTTAGAAGTATGGACTGAATTTTTAGCTTGGAAATTGTACATATAAGTTAGATCTGTTGGACTCCATTTCCAGCAGAGACTGATTCAGATTATCTAGAGATGTGCAAGGAATACGACCAACCAACATGCACATAAAAGCATTGTTTCTGGTGCAAAGTCAGGTGTCTTCCTCTCCCTAAGACACCTTGCATGTGGATTAATTCAGACTCTTAAATGACATTAAAGAACTTTGTTCTGTTATTTTACAGTCCACAGGTGCAAGAGGAAACCAAATCCAGCAGAGTCTACAGGCCTAGTTCAACATCCTGTACAGCTCTGCCAGCCATTCTCTCCTCCCTCCTTCCTGATCACTTTGGTTCTTCGTGCCCTACAATAATTTCCTCTTCTAGTCTCCCTTTTTAACTTTGTCCATGGCACACTACAAATGATTTCTGGTTGCAATGATTAATTTCACAACTCACACCTAATTTGACCCTAATAACTTTGCCTGCAAAAGGGACAATTCCTTGTTGATCCAGACAACCAACTTATCGCCCCATGAGCACAATAAAAGGGCAGGGCTGGTTCTCAACAGGGAGATGGCCATTCGTGTTTTTCCAGGCACGGTGTCCGAGGTTCCTTATCGAGTGGGGAGGAGCTGGAGCGCTGCAGGCACGCAGGGGAGGCACACTGCTCCCAGCCTGCAAGGCCACACAGCATGGGAAGCGGTGGCTTGAAAGAGCAGTGGGAGAATGACAGATGGTTTGTGCCTGTGCGTTTCTGCAGGGGACACCGGGGTCCCGCCCTGGGAACGGCGTGGACAGTGAAGGCAGGACTGCATGTGAAGAGTGACAAAGCAAGTCAGCCACGGATGGCCCGTGGGAGGCCAGAGGAAATGCACCATTAGTCAAAGTTGGAGGAAAAATAAAATGCGATGACAACTGGGCCATTCATGTGCTTCCCCTTCAAGGCCCGAGCAGACCCTTCACAACTCAAAAGACTCAAGTATCAGCTTCTTTTTCTCTTCAGCCAGGCTAATGTGCACCGGCAGGGTCTGAGAAACTCCCCTGTCACCTACATTCATTCTTATCTTGTTGTTCTTGGCCACACTTCACTGAAGTACAGTGAGGGAGAGTGCTTCAATCACTGATGTGGATCCCAGGGAGCACCCCCTCTGCTGTTCCTCGGGATCAGCTCAGCAGCAGAAAGCAACGTTCACCCACCTGGGAACTGGGGAACAGGAGGACTTCCAGCACCAGAGAGTAAGACAATGAGGTGGCCTTAAAGGATGTTTAAGCTCACACATGGACAACTTCATCACCCCAGGGTAGCTTTCTGCACTTTGGAGAGTTTGCTACTCAATACCAAAAATGCAAGAGCTCAGAGCTCTCAGTAGCCTCGGTGACAGAGGCCTTGCATTTCACCAGCAGATTCCATCAGATGTTCCACGGTGCCAGGCTCACCCTGAGGCACTGCTGTCACAGCCTGGGAATGTGACATTTTGTCAGTAAGGAAAGATGATGCCCTTCAGAAGGTCCAGCTGTAAACACTCACAAATGCTTGGTCTCTCATTCTTGAGTGGGGACAATACCCCAGCTAAGGACAGGGTTGATTCAGAACTGCCCCTCTGGAGCTGTGGCATTTCCACGTTGGGAAGCACATGGCAGTCAAAGGGAGATGCAAGCAGAAGATCCTGAAATGTTCTCTCATGAATACACTGCACTCTTACCCCATCAAAAGGGGGAACTAACTAACTAACTAACTTACTAACACTTGAATGGGGCTAAAAGGAGCTAAGTAAACTCAAAACAAGTAGAACAAGAAAAATTCAAGGATTACAATGACATCCCCAATTAAGGAAGAGACCCAAAGTCCTGACCTGAACCTTAAAGGTATCCTGGATATGTGCAGAATGAATGGGGACAGAAATGCAAGCAAAGTCTGAAGTATCAAGAGAATTCTCCTTATTTTCCTGTGTTTGAAATATGTCTAACAAATAAGCTCACTGACAAATAAAGAAGTAAAAATCAAAAGTGCTGTCATGATTTAATTAGATCTCAGTCTGATGTAAATTAATAAAAAAATAAATCCTTTGACAATGTGAGAGCCATTTCTGAAGTCTCCAGAGCAGCCTTGCTGCTCTTGAAATTCCTTCCTGTTAGATGGTTAATAACCTCTGCTTTCTACATTACGGGAATCATTCACCTGAACTGAGCAGTGCTCTCAGAGTGTGAACACCCTGCTGCCCAAACTGCTGGGGCTGACATCTTCCCAATTACTCAGGAGTCTCTTGCCAGCAGAACATTAGCTGACTCCATTTCTCTAAGGAAAATGCCTGGGTTTCCTGATGTTTCCAGCTGTGTTTGTACAACCTGCCTTCGTGTGAAGTTGAAAATTAATGCACTTCCTATGGATCCTTTGAAAAGGAGAAGAAAAGGAAGATTATCAAAATTAATAAAAATGCCAAAGCTCAATCCTTTGTCCCCGTTGAACAAAGGTTTTAAAGTAAAGATTGCTGAGCTCAGCCTCCTGCATAAAGCTAAAAGCTGCTATGTAACCTGTTGCTCTGACACAGTGTGAACAGAATATTGGTTGGCTGCATTGCAGTTCATTCACACATGAGTAAGAGATAAAAATAAAACAAGATCTCAATTTTGACTGTTTTGTTGGGAGTACACCCTGGAAAAATGTATTTGGGCCTTTTCTCACAGGGAGCTGGCAAAGATATAAAATAAACAAAAAATTTGTTTATTTTCTTGATTTTTGCTTAAAGTCTGTCTTTTTTCACTGGTTTTCTTGTCCTTGGTAATTTAGTTTAATGGAGTTACATAATATTCTAATAGACAAGGTACCTGTAGTCCTTTTGGTTTAGATTTGTTTATGTTACCACCTGGCTAATCCTAACTCATGGCAGAGCCTTGGGAAAAAGAAGTCTCCTTGTCAAAGATTTAAGAAGAGGGATCTTGCTCTTTGTTTTTATGGTGAAACGAGGAAGAACGAGCCTGATTCCCATGCTGCTTTAATGTAAAGGGAAGAAGGATGGGACAAACCCCAGCTGGTCTTTGTGTGATCTGAAGGAAAACAGGGAAGGAGGCAAGGGTGAGTACTTTTACAGTTCATCTTTCATGGGGTATAAAGGCTTTCCTTAAATGAATGTGTTAATATATTGGACACACTCTTACCACAAACTGCTGAGACTTTCACCTGGAAAAATTTCCCCCACCCCCTCCTTGGAGCTGCTGGTTCTGACAGGCTGCAGCTCCCAATACCTCTACCCAGCTAACAATGCACAGCACCTTGTTCCAACAAGACTGGTCTCCATTTCACACTCCCCCCAGGGAATATTCACTTTTCCCTTCAGACTGTATCTTTCTGACTGATGCAATCAGATTCTGGAAACCTGCCTTATTAGTTTATATTCCAGCTTCTTAGGGAGTGATGTTAATTTTCCATTGTAGGACCAGAAGACTTTAGATGTGCTAGATCTTGTCTATGAGAACCAACAAAGAAGTGGCACACGCAGCACCGTGCTCAGAAAGGGACTTCAGTGAGCAGCACTCCTTGCTCAGCAAGTCTGGGAGTTACAACACAACAGTGCTTGAGAAGAGGTCTTTTACAATTACACAATGAACAAATAAAAGTGCATTTTCTTACTTATTCACTGGGGATATTCTGCTTAATTTCTGCACCAGTTCACCATCCTAATTGTTTCCTTGCTACATCTGTGGTTTGCTACTAAGCCTTTACACTGTGATGGCCAAAGAGTTCCATTATATCCATTAAAGATTAGATCATTTTCTTTTGTTTCCCACAGCAAACAGGATCCCATTCATGTCCCAAACAGAATGTCAGTAGTTGGAATTATGTTTTCTTAAGGTGCATATAAGATTAAAGACAGAAATCAGATGCAGTGTTGCCAAAGCCTTTGTAATATGCATGTTTTTCATGGCAAGATGATTGACAAGAATTGCAGGAAGGTGCTGAAGGGGATATTTCACCTGGCCCATCAAAACTCAATGTAGAGGATTAGAACTAAGAAGAGCTGACAATATTGACTTTGAGTACCACAACGGAAACATAATTAGCTCTTTGACATGTAGTGGACAGAAATATTCCATTTTTAAAAAATCAGTTAGAGTAATTACAGCATATCTGTTGCATGCTGCCCTGGGAAAAAAAAACAAAAAGAAAAAGAAAAAAGGTCTGCTCTGCTGTTTCCTTTTTTCCCAGTAAAATTCAAGTTTGGCACTAGAATAAATGCTTGCAAACCCAGCCTTTCTGCTGGAAGAACATCAGGAAAACTTTGAGCATAAAAGTAAAAAAACCTCTCTTAAAAGAGAGCATACAGATCTGAACGAATGAAAAAGTCAATGAATTTTATACAAGTTTACGTATTGCAAAACAAACTGTCTGCACTGTGCTTATTAAAGGCATATTTCATTGCCTAATCATAGATGTCTATTGTACCTTTTATTTTTGAATCATAATTGCAGCCTGTTCCCCAACTGTAACAATGAAAGACGTTTTGGCACATGCTTATATCGATTCCCCTTCAGCAAAGCACTTCAGACACATCCTTGCATCCCTCGGAGCTGAAGGACCAGCGTTAACTGAGGCCCCTGATGTCACTGGGACTTACACAACTGGCACTTCCACGGGCACAGAATTGAGAATTGTCTGTGCTGGACAGGCAGGAGCCTCTGGAGAACCCTTCCCGCTCAGAGCCTGCACAGTGTGCAACTGCTTTGGTTACACACACACTGCACCCTGCAGATGTTTCTGTGCTCTTATCACAGGAACTGTGCCAGGGGAAAAAGGGGATCTGCTGTGCTGAGGTGTCTTTTCCAGCTCCTGGTCTGCAATAACCTGAACTGCAGAAACAGCTTCCAGTAGGTGTAACGACACAGTGCATGCAGAAAGGGGGAACGGCAAAACTTAACTGTACACAATACCTTAGCACTGACAACAAATTATCATTAGGTATAACATAAATAATGCAGTGCATTCAGTTCTCAATTTATAAAGATTGTTGTCTCTATGCTTGTCTGTAATTCTTTTTGCTTTGGGATTAAGTGGCATATGAAAAAAAGGAGCAAAAAAATAATCAAGAATTTTCTTACCTTATTCCCTTTTTCAGCCCCTGTTACTAGCTATCCTAATTAGTTAGAACCTGCAATGAAATATTAAAGGATATTAAAACAATGCAGAATTCAAAATGCCTTTAAATACAATAAAGTCAATATTCATTCTCAGCATCAAATCCAGGGCATATACTGAGATAATACTAAACCAGCCTGTTTCAGCAGCTCAGCATTACCTGACATAACGGGAACTTCTCATCAAAATCAGTGGATTTAAAGACAGAAAACTGAGATAAACTGATCAATGTTCTCCCTTTCTTTTCTGACAGAGAAATTTCTCAGAGTTCTAAATTTCGCTAGTCATTTCTCAATTAATTTTCCAACATTTTTACCTAGCAGTACCTATAGCTACTAACTGGTTTTGTTCCTATGCATTTATTCCACTTTGTGTTCTAGTTTAAAACCCAAAGTAAATAGCTAGTGTAGAATACTTTAGCCCTGTGCAATACTCGGTATTTCAAGGGAGTTTACTCTTGACCTCAAGAAGGATGTCAACATGCAGGGACAGTGAAAATACCTGTTAGACCTCACTAGCTGCAATAAACAGGAGAGTATCTGAAAACATACTTACCAAGTCTACAGATTCCCTTGAATTTAAAATAAGGGGCCATCCAGCCTGGAAAAATCTCCATGGTTATTCAGTTTACACACAGATACAGAGAGGTATCAACATTTCCTTCTTAAAAGGTCTGAGTCTGTCTACTTCTTCATTTCCTTAACACATACTTCAACCAAAAGAAACATCAAGATCAAAAAAATAAATCTATTGTAAGCAGAAAGCATATGTACAAAATTAAGCAAATACAATCACACATTTACTACGAAAAATATTCTTTATTCATTAATTAATGCACAACACAATAAATATTGGAATCATACATATAAGGGACCCAGCAAAGCTCAGACTTGTTTGCACCATGGTGTGGTTTGACAAACAAATCCTCATCAGCTGGCATCCTGTGAAGCCTGACTAAATTTTCTCATTTCTTACATTTTCACACGCAGCCAGTAATTTGCAGTGTACATCAGTTGTTTCAACTGACAATAGTCAGGCTTTTAAAAACAATTCTTAAACACCATCCCTGGTGAATCCTTCAGGAAAAAAAGCACAATCACAGCAGTTGTCATTGCCTCACTGTTGATGTTGACATTAGGGTTCTGCAGGTGTGAATGTTTTACTGCAGTGGGGCGACAGCACTGTCCACTAAGTGAGGAACAGCTACTGGAGAGACAGCAACAATTTTCATCAGCAATTCTAAAACCAAGACAGTTCTGTTACTGCTGAGAAAGGTGACATGCCCTCATGCTCACACACTGAGGACACATTTCCTTAAGATCTCCTCATTTGCTGTCCCAAATCATTATTTTCAGCTTTATGATGAATGAAATGAACTTGTCTGCAGGGACAGACTCCTTCAGGACGCACTGGCAGGGCAGGGAAGAGCAGCTGATTTTACAGGGCTGAGCACCAGTGCTTTCCCTCACGGCAAACAAAGGGAGCTGGAACAGGTAAACACCAGGAAAAAATCCTGCGAGCACACACATTACAGTTTAGTCAGAGGTGAGGTTCTCACAGAAAGATCTTGGTTTCAGTTGTTAACTGAAATATTAAATAAAACATTTTAAGAAACCCTAATGTGTCAAGAACTCTTCTTCCGTGAAATGTAATAGGGTTTTGGCTGCACCGTGCTCATAAGACCTTTATTAAAGGAAACAAACTTCTGAATGTGCAGGTATGCACACATGTAGGTACAAAGGTTTCATCCTTTCTTCTAAAGGCAGCTGCACAATTCAGGCAGTGTTGCAGCTACCCTTCCACTCAAAGTATTTCTTTTCAACTACAAACTTATGGATGACTTCACAGCTGAAAACTGGCATCAGCAGATGTGACAGAGAACGCCACTTGCAGCCAAACCATATCACTCCTTCCTAGCTTATGGACCAGAAACATTGACCAAAACTCAGGAAACTTTGTAGAGAAAGCATCTGAGATTTCTTTTGTTGTTAAAATAAATACTTGAAAATTCAATATTCTAGTATCAGTGAAAGCATGATAAATGCTGTTACATACTATTTTACAAGGAAATTCTGATCCCTTTTTTTTCTAGCAGTTTCTCTGACAGGTACAATTCTCCTGGTAAAAAAGATTTCCTCCTCATAATAAATCAGCCATTTGTCTGTGTTGCAGCAGTGAAACAGCAATCAAATTAAAAATAGCACAGATACACATGATCAGACTATTCTTCTAAACTGTGCAACAAGCTTGGAATGAAAATATCAAATTCCCCAAAGAAAACACTCATATCAATTAACTGCAAAAAGGATACATTTGGGTTCACCTCAAGCCCATCTCTTCTTTTCCTATGATCACCATTCTGCTGTAAAGGGAGCAGGAGATTATGTGTCTGTGCATATCAAAATACTGAAACTGCAGCCTCGATTGAAATTCGGTGCAGTTTTTGTGTTGCCTTTGCCATCTCCTCAAGAGGGTTCTGCAGAAGCAGCTTCCCTCTCAGATGTTTCTTTGCTGCCACAGATGAGCCAGCACCTCCCCCTTCTGGAGAGCCCGAAAGCAGCAGGAATTTGTGGCAGGGAAAGGCTTTCTTAGTCGGGCCAGTACTCAAAAAAAATAAAAAGTTTGTAGATAATTATTTAGCTCCTTGTTCTGAGCACGACTGTCTCTGTTCTAGATGGCTGGCTAGTGCAGTTCCCTTCAGTACCGTGTTTTAGTAAAGCCAGACCTAAGTCAGTTCAGATATGGTACCCAGCTCATCAGTGAAAGGCTCAAAACCAAACCAAGACAATGTATCAGTGTCAGCCAGATTTCTGCATTCTGGGAAACAGAAAATGCTAAACAAGTTGGATTATGAGTAGGTTTGATTCTACTTGTCAGCATTGCTTAATATACACTGTTCAAGCAGTAATTTGTGAGATGTGTCAGTTTAATTTGAACTGAACGAAAAATTCTAGGAGTAGGCAGAGGAATCATCATAAAATTCAACTCTTCCTTCAGCACCTCTGACCTCATTCATTCTCAGCCATCATCATAACGTTGTGCCCAGGATGCTACTGATTAATGCACTGGGATTCTTCCAGCAGCAGCACAGCCTCAGTGACAGGTGATTTTCTATTAAATCCCTGTATGTATTACATTTAGAAGAAAAATTCCAAAGATGACTGCTTACCTATTGTTCCACACTCTGGGAACTTGCTTCTGCCGTGACTACAGAGCAGTAGCATCAGTAACGAGCCATGCAAGCTCAGGACAAAGCATCCCACCAAACTTCCAGGGAGGCCCTGCCTGATTCCCAGCATCTGTGTCACCACCACTGAGGCACCTCTGCCAGTCGTGCCAGCAGAGAAACCCCGTGACAGCTGCTTCCCTTGCAGATGGCCTGTGTCACTGCCTTCAGGCACATTTCCATATCAAATACTGTGATTATTTCCTAGCCCCCAGCAAGAAGAGAGTTTTAGGCACTTGGAGAGAGAGAGGTTTGTTACAGCAGGACTGTGTTGGTTTTAGAGCTGAGATGGTGCAAGGGCAATTCTTTGGGCTGTGAGAAGGAGCTGCCTGCAGGGAGAATGAGAAAGACTCCTGGAACTCAAACCAGTAACGCTGTTTGAACTCTAAGTGCCCCTTTCCTTTACAAACATATTTTGTGCCTTTTTCCTTCTTTCCAGGGATGGCATTTAACCTCAGCAGCCTGTGACTGTGGCATCCAAGCCAGAACGCTTTGTAATGTGCAACTTGGTGACTTCCTCAGCACAGGTGGGGTGGATACCAACTGTCTTCATCAGCTGAGGGTACGTAGCACCACACCTACCAAAAAACAGCACAACAGAAAGACCCACACAGTCAAATGCTCTTCAGCTGGAACAGCCAGAAGGTCCTAAAACTTCAAAGCAATCCTGCTCTTGTCCATTTTATCAGCTAGAGGAGTGGCATTTGCTTTTCAGACAATGCTGTCTCTATTATTTCTCAGGCACTTACACAACGTGCAGACGCCCAAGTTCATTGCACTGAGGCAGGGAAAAATTGTCATGAGAGTTGAGACAGAGACAATTAAGCAATTTACCCCAAGTCACAACTGAGCCTATGGCAAAAACATATGACAAAAGTGCACCCTTCAGCTTTTCTTGTACATACATGTGTGTCTCACTAACTCCAGATGGAAAAAATGCACACATACACACAGGGGAAGAAAATCCTAATCAGAACTGCTGGAAAGAATCTGCTGAAGGAAATAATACCAGAATATTATTCCATGATCTTACAGAAAGTCACTGGTGCTTATACTGAACATATCAATGTTATAAGCAGGAGAATAAAAAGGCTCTTATTTGAAAAAGAACCAAACCAAACCAAAAAAAGAACACCAAAAAACCCTTGAGCTAAAATCCCACTTGCTTAATTCCTTTACTTGTCCAATAACATTCTTAAGACTTGATGACTTTCCTTTGAGCTGCTACTCCTGGCAGGTCATGCTTTAAGAACGGCTGAAATGGCCCTAAATTTAAGAATAGTTTCAAGCTCTCTATGGAACAGTGTTATCTCCCTCTACAAAACACAGGGAAGGGAGCCATAGATGCTTTCTGATGTCTGCACATCCAAAAAAGCACTGACAACCAAAAGATCAATGCTGAGCACAGATGTTACTGACTGCTAAGTGGGGAGGGAAGATGAAAAATCATCCTTCAGAGAGGCTGAAGCAAGCCCAGTGCTTGACAAAGGAGAACAGCTCTTGCAGTGAGTGTTCCACGCTGAAAGCTCTAGATTTGTGAAGTGCAATAGAAACCAACACAAGAATCTGACCTGCTGAAAACCTCTTACTGTGGCTAAAATTTTAATTTCCCTCAAGCAAGGCAGAAAAGCACTCCAGTTTCATGTGCTTCCTTTTCAATGGTTATTTTGGATAAAACTTCAAAACAATGACATCCTAAAAAATGTAGTTCTAGAATCTATACCACTGGCAATTAAAGGACTACAAACACATGTTGAAAATGTGTACTGAGGGCACACTGCAATCAGTGATTTCCAAGATATTCCTTACGTGATGCTTGCGGTCCTGCCTTCTTAATCCTTTCTGCTTTTCATTTCTGCTAGTCACTCACAACTGTAAGACTAAAACTGCCATAAAATGGGGATCAGAATTAGGAAAATGAACTCACACAACTCGGGGTGATTTATTGTGTCCCAGACCACTTTCTTCAAAGAGGGAGTTAAAAACTGTGATTTAGTAATGTAAATACACAAATCAACATTTCCAAAGATAAGGAAGATAAGAAGGGAAATGTAAAAACAAATATGAAATAACTGTAGCACATCAGAAGCATAGCAGGAATTTTCCTTTTACCAGACAGGACTCAGAATAATTCCTTACTCCTTCAAAGAGAGGGCTTCTATATTAATATTTGAGCAAAATCTTAAACAAGATCAGATCACAGAGGGTAAGTTTAGTATTGCAATTATCAGATAGCTCCAAACAAAAGTACCTCCCCTCTCCCATTATCCTACAGAAGTTTCTTTTTTACTCTGTGGGGATTAGCTTATACCTCAGAACCAAACAGGAATTCATGCAAGTCCTTGCTGAGCCTTAGAGAGCAATGGCTGTGCACATTTAAAGATAAGATCAGGAAACCCTTGGCAGGTGTAAAGAAAGGTTTTTATGAAAAGCACAAATATCCTTTAAAAGAAGAAGCTTGCCAAACTGTATGGTGATTGCCTATTTGTGCATAGAATACAAAAGGGGCTGCACTGAAAAACAATTAGTAAATTAATGCACAATTTTGGGTTTTGCTTTAACTAGATCAAGTCAACAATATATTTTCCTCAGTTGTTTCCTTAGCTATATCCAGTGTTACAGTAACTAAATCCAATACATCCTAAAGCAGAACTGCAGTATTTTAAGTGAAAATATGTGCAACACTTCATAAAAGTAACAAAAAGCATTCATTCTTTATAGTGTTGCCAAAACTAGGCAGCTATCTTTTATAATCTTACAATAACTTAAGAAGCAGGCTTTGGAAGTGGAGACATTCTTTTGTACTTACTTGATTCCAAGAGCAAATCCTTGAATAACTTCGCCTGCATTCGGTCCAATGAAATGAAGGCCAAGGATCCTTTGCTCCCTCTCTCGTAAGCACACCATCTGCAAACAATCCAGGACACAGAGATCCCTTCTCAGAACACTTACAGAGAAGGCATGAAGGTGAATGAAATGAAACTGAGGTGCCCCAGGATCCTGGCTCAGCTGTTTGTTTCCAGTGTGCCAAAAGCTTACGCACTGAAGTCCTCCTGACTTCAGCAGGGCTCACTCCTGTTCTTAAGCACTTTGCTGAACTGAAGCTCTATTAGTGTATTTCTTTCAGACTTCAGGGAGCCACTGACAACAATAATCTGTGGTATGGAAGACTTTGCTGTCTGTCATTTGTTTGAAATCCTCAGAATGCTTTCTGTGGTCTGGTACCCAGAGCAGTGTTGTTTTGCCCAGCCTGGCCCCCTCGGCACTGCTGCAGCCTGGGCAGTTCTTCCCAGGAGCTCAGCAGCTCTGCTTCCACAGATCATCAACTATGGGGCATTTTGTGCCTTTGGGATGCAGGCAGGAAACACTCAGAGCAGCGTGGCTGGGGAGATGCATTTACCACATGGGCCACACAGCCCAAGGTGAGTTAATAGGGCTCTGGGAGAGCTGACTCACTGCACACTTAACTTTTATTAGAGAACGTAATGAAAACCTTTTAGTTCCTTTAAGGACACCATTTTTAGAATTATGGAAAGAAAGAGTCTCTCCCAGCGTCCTCCCATCAAGCATTAAATCATCACTAATCCAGTAAGTTCTGCTGTTCACTAAAAGTTTGAGTTCTTTCCTCAGGATTGCCAGGAACAGCAGCAATCCTGACATGTAACTTTAAATTTTGAGGAGCTTCAAAGAAAAAACTCTCCTGCAATAGAATTTTAAATACTCAAGTTAAATGTTTGTTTTGAGAGTTTAGTAGGGACTATATCCAATATCTGCCAATAACTATTATGCTATGACTACTTCACCCTCAAACATTTACCTTAATTGACATAATTCAAAGGCAGTACATAAAATGAAATAGCATCACCTTAGTTGCACTGGTACTTGAGACACTTAAGGCAAGTCACTAAGGCACTTACATAAATCAGATGTGACAAAACACAGAAAAACTGGCTGCAGCTACTGAGAATGGACATTTCTTAATAACAATAAAACACTGCATCATATGGACCTATTTATGTAAAAAAGACTGTTCTCTGATGTTGAGGAGAAAAGAAAGAAAAAGAAAACTATGATATATTCTACCAACACTACACTTCACCTTATCTCAGATTCTCTGCTAAGGGCAAGTGCATCAAAAACCTTTCCAGCACTGAAGCAACTGGATAGCTCTAGGAGAAGAAACATTTCAGGTCTGACACTTTGGTTTAAACCAAGAGCTTTTTGTTTTCCTGAGTAACACTGAGTAGTTACTCTACTTTTGTAAGCCTTATGCTTAATTTTTTTGAAGGTAGCATACTTTGCCAAGACAGGACAATGCAAATATTACATGTAACCAGTTAAAAACCTTGCTAGGAGAAGCAGAGACTGATGTCTATAGAATTTGAAATATTTCTTAGGACCTTAAGAGCAGTCCAAAGCCAGTATTAGTCAGCAGAATGTCAGTTCTGACAAATGCTAATATCTGTAAAGCAATTTCAAGATGCAATGGGATATTTAATGAACATTAAAGACTTGGAGTTACAATAAAGAAACAGGTTGTCAGCAAGAAAATCTCTCATCCACTTGGAGATGGTTTTTTGCCAAACAGTCCTCCTTAAAGCTGGTTGTACCATATCACTTGTTTCAAATTAAAGGCAAGTTAAAAGCTCACCAAACTCACTTTCATATAGCATTGAGTTGCATCTCTTTCAGCCACTGTAAACTCTAAAGGTTTATAATATGCATGGAATACCTGGTAAGAAAAACAATAACATTTTGTGTTAGCACTATTATGTCAAAACCTGCTATTTACTATTATAATGACTGCTATTACTACATCTTTATACCACTGTAGAAAAAATTATTTATTTAAAACCTTGTCATTATTTTAGAGAACAATCTGGAAAGCCCAGCAAGATGTTGCACAATATAACTTGCTAAAATGGCAGCTACTGTAAAGCTGTCACACGATTTTGAAGCCATCATCAATTTTTAGCCCAGTAGGTAAGAGCTGCCACTGTGACCTGCTGCAGTACTGAAGTTCTGAGCACTTCTGGACACACCAACTCCCTAACTGCAAACACAGTATTTGTGGGCTCCAACAATTTTACCTGGTGCAACAGTGAAACTTCTGGTTTTTCACAGTGCAACTCTGACACCAAGCAGAGAATTACAGATGTTTTCATACCTCAACATTATCTGCCCCGTGACGCTGCACAGCTGCTTCTTCCGACAGCCCCACACAGCCGTACTCCAGCGGCGTGAACACGGTGGTGGGGACCTGGCCCGGGGAAACAGGAGTTACTGCTGAGCCAGGGACAGCAGCTGCAGGACACCCCCAGCACACTGAGACTGCAGCTTTGTACAGACACCAGCACACTGAGACTGCAGCTTTGTACACACACCAGCACACTGAGACTGCAGCTTTGTACACACACCCAGCACACTGAGACTGCAGCTTTGTACAGACACCAGCACACTGAGACTGCAGCTTTGTACACACCCCAGCACACTGAGACTGCAGCTCTGCACACACCCCAGCACACTGAGACTGCAGCTCTGCACACACACCAGCACACTGAGACTGCAGCTTTGTACAGACACCAGCACACTGAGACTGCAGCTCTGCACACACACCCCAGCACACTGAGACTGCAGCTTTGTACAGACACCAGCACACTGAGACTGCAGCTTTGTACACACACCAGCACACTGAGACTGCAGCTTTGTACAGACCCCAGCACACTGAGACTGCAGCTCTGCACACACACCCCAGCACACTGAGACTGCAGCTCTGTACAGACACACCAGCACACTGAGACTGCAGCTTTGTACAGACACAGCAGCACACTGAGACTGCAGCTCTGTACAGACACACCAGCACACTGAGACTGCAGCTCTGCACACACCAGCACACTGAGACTGCAGCTCTGCACACACCCCAGCACACTGAGACTGCAGCTTTGTACACACACCAGCACACTGAGACTGCAGCTTGGTACAGACACCAGCACACTGAGACTGCAGCTCTGCACACACACCAGCACACTGAGACTGCAGCTCTGCACACACCGCAGCACACTGGAGCAGGACAGACCTGCAGCTCTGCACACACAGCAGCTGTCAGAGCTGGACCCCAGGGGACAAAGTGCAATTCCTTTAAAAATTCTTAAGGAGAACAGAGTGTAGGATTTTGAGCAGTGAAAGAAAGGGCTAAGAACTCACAGAGTCATAGTCCATCAGCTCTGAAGAGTGGCCACAGAGGCGCTGGGCCAGCAGCTTGCCTGCAGCTATGGCCGTGGGGGTTAATTCAGGCCGGCCCTGTGGGGAGAACACACAGCTTTGTCTGAACCCAGAGACAGGAGCCGAGGATTCCTCCTGGGATGATGGGCACAGGAAGGCCAGATCTTTGGAATTCCAGCCTGGAACCAGGGCTCAAATAGAGAAGACAGGAATAGCTTCTCTCCAGACATGCTTTTAGGTCTCTGAGTTCACTGTCTGTCTTCATGGAGGGAAAAAATGTCACAAATATGTCAAATCTTTATATCTTATCATGTTAGCTCTTGAAAAGCAGCACATATTCACATGCTAACTGTTCAGTTCCCCCTTTCTCTCCACAGAAAGTCATCAAGAAATTTTTCAGATGGTCTTTTTAAAGCAGAAAGAGCCTGGTATAAAGCAACAGTGTTTTTATAACATCAAACCCTTTACAAAAATTTGCCTGACACATTTTTACAGAACCCAGGCACAAAACACAGCTATTTGTAGGCACTGCTGCTGACTTCCCAGGCTGGCCTTGGACTGGAGAAGTGGAGCTGGTCCTGCTCTCAGGCTCTGCTATTTACAGGGGAGCTGGAAAGGATTGGTTTTGGCAAATACTGATTTCCTGTGACTGCAAAATGCCACGACAGCAGGGTATGACCAGGACATGCTCCAGTTCAAGCCATGAGCCCTGGGTACTTTTATATCCAGGACCATGTAGTGTGCAAGAACCTTAATTTTGAGTGCTGGCACAGAACCACTGGAGCATCACAACGCCAGTGACAGTTTTAAAGAGGCCAGAAGTTTCTGCAAACTGAAGTGAGGCATTTTCAAAGGAGTATCTTCAAGTCCATGGAAGTTAATAAGACCTAACAAAATTCATAAATCTAATAAAAACCCATCAGTTAAGAGCTCATCCAAGACATATCATCAGGGTGCTTGCCTGACACGAGGGAAGAGGCCACGAGTCCAGAAGGAATGATGTGGAGACATAAGAAAGCCATAACTGAGAAACTCCTCTGTGGGACAACATGGAATGCTTTGTGAAATGTGTGAAGTTTTGATTCACACAGGTCCTATTTAGACCCAACACTTGTCATGCTCCTGCAAAGCCCAGTTTGGAGGCAATCGTTCAATAAATGCTCAAAACCAGTTTTCAGCAGAAAATAGGAATTCCCCACCACACACATTCAAAGGTTTCCACTTATTTTCATTATCCTAAAGTTTTTTAGCATTTACTACTATCCAGTCTTCTCTCCCAGCTTATCTTTTTTTGCAGGTTGCTAGACAGACTCTGGTATTAGCATTTCCTTCTAGTACACATACCATATCATTACCTGCATGTTAATATGCATTTATGCTTTTATCTGTACTAATAACCACTTCAAAGTTCTACTGCAAAGAACCAAACTGAAACAACATTATGTCTAACCTGATAACAGAAATTACAATTCTAAGTGTTAATGAAGACTAATCTGTTTTTCCTCCACACCTCATGACAAATCACAAAACTGCAAGTCTCTCCCTTTCTTCCCCCGACATCCATCAAGTCACAATTTTTTAAACCCAGCATTTTGACTTTTAAGTCTGTAAATATCATTTACCAGCTGAAATTTGCCATTTGTTTTTTCTTATACACATTTGCCTGAAACATGGCTGCCAATCATTTCTGTAGCAGGAAATACAGATGTTGTTTTGGCATTCCAGAAATGAATAGAAGATTGGAATGAGAGATAAAATTGTGAAAGCACTGCCATGCATTCCATAAAACCCAACTAATTACTAAAACATCCATGCAGATAAAGCCCAATTTCTCATAAACAATGACTTAAAGACCTTTCTTGGTAAATATTTGAAATGAACATTCACTTTGCAGTCATGTGTAGAACTACTCCACTGATTATTATGGATACGAATTGTTCACGAGAATCCTCCAATGTATTATACACTTGAACGAGATGGCTCCTGAGAGAGTTCAGAAAGCTTTGAAGTGATGTGTATTTGTTCTAACACAACTCTTTTTGCTCTCACTGCTATTCAAAGCAACATACTGTACATTCCACCTCCTCTACACATCTTTGTTACAACACCCTTTGAGACAGGACAGATGTGGAGCGGCCTGACCACACGATAAAGCTCCTTCTGAGAGCGTGTCTGTGTGTGTGTGCCACGCTTTTCACCAGCACCACTGCTGCAGGACGACCCCTAACACACAGAGTTTACAGCAGCACTGAAAAGAATTCCAGCTAAAACTCCAGCTCGGTCTTCCTGATCACAGAAGATGAAAACGCCACAGTGCAATGTCACATGTCAGTTGAAAATAATATTTTGTCAAAGCTTGAAAAATGTTTTTTTGAGGGTAGACAAACTGACCGATGTCTGGAAGATTCCCCCCCTCCCCTTTTCTCCCAAAGAACAGCCTGGATAACATTAGGATTCCATTTGTCATACAAGGGTGCAACAAGACACCCATGCACACACAGTGTCCCATTCCTACCAGCTGGGTAGGACTCCCAAATGAAAACAGTCACTGAGTAATCAGCAACCTGGCCTGCCCCTGCCCCCTCCCCTTCCAGCCAGGGCACTGGATTCACACAAAAAGAGAAGTCCTGGCTGTTTGGTGGCAATTCTGTGTCTTCTCAGCAGTGAGGATGAGGCTGGAGAACTACCGGCAAAGTCTGAGCAAGAGCACTTACTGGTAACAAAGACATCTGATGGGGGAGAGCACAGAGACCCTGAGCAGGAACACCAGAGAAGAAATTCTCTCATTCTTCTAATGATCTGAGGATCCCCGATGCTCAGGCAGAGGAAACAAGATTGCCCTTGCTTTGCTCTTTTGGTAGGTCCCACCCAGAAAGTACCACAGCTCCAGCTCTGCAGCTTCTGTGCTTCCCAGCAGGATGCACTTGATCCTCAGGTGTGTGTGCTTTGAGATGGGCACCAACACAGAACTGTATTCCAGTGCTGGCTCCCATGCCAATGAAATTTATTAGCTAAATTAATTCTGCTTAAAAAAAAAAAAAAAGACTAAATGGATTTAAGTATTCAAATAAAATAATTCCTTAGCAAGTGGAATTACACAGCTCACATTGTGCTGCAGTCAGATAAGATAGTGGCAGTAATTCCTGTTATCTCTAAACACTTTACATGTCTGAGTACTGTACCATGATTTCTTTAATTCCCTGTATTGAGCCCATATGCAGATAAAAGCTTAAGAGAATGTTTCTACAGAGCACCTGATTTAACTCTTCATTTTCCCCCAGTTTTACCCTGGACACAGCATAGAACTGTGTTGCTGTTTTTCACATTTCCATTTAGAGGTGTCTATCGAATAACTCAAGTTCAAAAACCTGCACTAATAAAGACAAAAACAGGAAAAGGAAATCCAACTTTTGACTACAAAATAAAGATGACAAATAAATGAACACAGTATTTTTTAGATCCACAGCAAGAAAGAGGAGAGCATCCTGCCTCCAACTTTATATTTCTTAACTAAATCCTCAAAGGGCAGAAGACAAAAAGCACCCAAAAGGAAATGACTTGCCCAAAATAACACTGCAGATTGGCAGCAAAATAAGCAGCAGAATCTAAGCCCTGTCAGCATTGCCTCTAACAACTGCTTCTTGGATGAAATCAAAAAGAAAAGTTTGCAAAGCAGGAGGCCCAGGCAAGGCACACATACCAGGGACAAGCAGGTGGAGGAGGTCACTGGAGCAGGAGGGGGACTTTAGGAAATATCCCAGAGCAAGAAGTGACAAATACAGAGGGAACCTGCTTGGGAAGTGAACCCATGACTGTGAAGTAGAATTCCTGTGAAAGGGCAGGAATTCTACAAAATCCCAAAGCTGTGGGTGACTGGACAGGACAGAGGCTGTGCAGAGTAAGAAGGAGAAAAAAAAAGGCAGAAACAGCTAAAAGGGAAAGAGTTTTAACACAATTCAAAAGGAAATGGCAAGTCATTCACAAGAAGATGGAGATGGACAGGAAGAAACACATGCCTACACAGAGGGAAGAGGTCAGCAGTGGTCAGCACATTTATGTGACTGAAGTGTCTCTGGCAGCTCAGAGTCCAGTCAGAAATTTGCTGTTCCCAAGACATTATCTAACCTGTTACATCTCTTGTGGAACTCAGAGCACCTGTAGGGTTTCTATCTGAGAGACCCTTGGAAGAGTCCAAACACGTCAGAATGAGAAATCTTTTAAAGGTCTCTAAAATTATACTTTATATTATGTCTGGATGTTGCTACAGTATTTAGATTATTTGGCTTAGGTTATAATGTCCCCTCCTTAAAAAACAAACAAACAAACCACATAACTCACGTTTCCTTGGCATAACCATTCACAAATTATAAACAGAAGTCAAAAGCAGTTAGTATTTTCAGCAATTACTTTTTTCTTATTCTAGAGGAAGATACTTTTGTCAGAAGTATTTTGCATCAGAGAGCTGAAAAGCTGCCCTGTGTTTAGTCTCAATTAACACCCAAAACACTGCAAATGGAATTAGAGAACTTGTCACAGTCGTTCCCACTGAGTGTGTTCATCCCCAGAAGGTAAGAACTGCTTTCACTCAGCATTCACAGGCAGCATTAAGTCATATGTCTACAGTGATAAAAACATTATTAGGAAGATAATTGAAGGGATAAAGACATCATTATTAGCCTCTGACCAATGATGCACTCCCTGATAAACATCAGCAATAATGTGCCATGCTGAGATACTTCACAGGATCCATGTGAAGGAAATTACTGACCCAGGTGCCTGGCATAAACACCACAGCTCTGCCAGATGAAAAATGCAAAACACTGAGATATATGCTGGGGCATGACGACATCTGGGGACTGCTTATTAGTCAGGAACAAAGTTGGCTTCCTGTTATTGTAAAATAGTTTATGTAGACTCAGTACCTCAGTTATGTCTCCAATTGCATAAATGTGAGGAACAGAAGTAGCTTCACTGGCATCAACAATAATCTTCCCAGTTTCAGAATTAGTTTTCACTCCAACTCTCTCCAAATTGAGAGTTTTAGTGTCAGGGGCTCGACCTTAAGGGGAAAAAAAAAAAAAAAAGAAATTAAAGCTATTGAAAAACATCAGCCATGTTAATCTAAGAAGCTGGTGTCCTCCACTGGGGGTTTCCAAGAGCTTCATGCCATGTAACAGTCCCAGCAGAAACATGACAAAACTTCTCTCATACTGTGAAAGCTGCAAGGGTGGCAGGTATGGATATGGATTTCTTTGTTCACAGGAGCTCAGTCACTATTGCCTTTGCTCAGACTGTTTCAGAGGAAGTTACCCTCTAAAATTATGGAGGACAACACTCACTGCCAGAAGTGCAAAACACACGTGGTTTGTAATTTCTTGAACATTCTAAATTGTTTCCTAATGCAGCATGAATACACATACAACAGCTAAGTAACTTCTGCACTGAAAACTTCCCATGAACAGTGGAGGGCACTCAGTGCTAACAGTGTGTTGTGCATCCTTGATGACAAAAATGGTTCATGATGCTGTTCAACATCAAACGTTCCTGAACTCCTCTTTTCTTGTTATGTGAACACACATATCTTACAGCTTTTTTAGTTCCCTCACTTTGGATGAAAAATTGTATCAACTGTGCTCTCAAGTCCTCAGTGCTGAGTTAGTTGGCTCAAACTCTGTATTTGAGCTATTTCTGTAGAGTTTAGAAACAGTATTTTAAATGCATTTAAAAACACGAGGTAACTCCTACCAAGCTTACATTTTATTACATCTTCCCCTTCCAATGGTGTCAAATTATCTCATCTTCCAAAAATACACTTTTGTAGTGTTTTCTGCATAGTTAGCACCTAGACCACTGAAGTCTTACCATTACACTGAGCTTTCTATCGAGTGTTTCAGGAAGCGATTCCTGACCCAGAAATTGCAATCTTCAATCCTATCCAACTTTTCAAATGCATTTGAAAGTTAATAAGCACAATGAAATTACCAGGGACTCCCAAAGCCTGTAAGGACGCAGAGAATCACATAAAAACGTTTCCTGGATACATCCAAAGGACATTTTCTAGCACTGCATCTGTGTTCAAGGCTTGCAGTGAATGTGGATATTTTACATTTTGGGGTCTCCCTTGCGTGAGCCACGATGTGTGTTTGATGTTAATACAGAGCTGCAGCAGAGCACAGCAAAAAGGGAAATGTGTTCTCAGTGTGAAAACAAGCCCTTTGATGTTAATGTAGGAAATTATTAAACAAAAGGAAAACCTGGCTTGTCAATACAGACCTAATTATATGTAAACATATGATTCACTGCTTTCTACATCTGCCATATAGGCAGGCCCCTCAAACAATGTCACATCTGAATGCCTCTGTAAAGACTCCTGTGTATTAATTTCATCTGCTGAAACCAACACTTCCTCTGGGAGCACTGACTGAAGCTGTCGGCACTTGGCTATCTGTCTGTCTTCCCTCCTCTTGTCCCCATGGGACGCTGATCTGCTGTTCCTTCTCTGCCCCCTGCTCCCCAGTCCTGATGCTATCAGGCAACAAAAATAATAAACCTCCAGGACCTTATCTTGGCTCGGATGTGAAACAACTTCCTACCGTTGTATTTCTTTGTGTATTGAGAGTAAAGCCTGGGTATTCTGCAAAGGGACAGCTAATGGGGTTTTCTAGTTTCCCCTTTTTCCTGCCAGGCAGAGCCAAGAGAAAAGCTTAGCACGCAATGGCAGGCACTGAAAGGGGAAAAAAGAAAAACTGTCAATAGAGTCACTTAAAGACCTGTGACAACAACAGATGAGTTTATCAAATCTGCAGGATAACACTTAACCTTTCCATTCCAGTCTATTTTAACATGTGTACAGCCTGGTATTAATAGCTAAGAGTTACAAAACACCGTGCTGCTACTCATAGTGAGATTTCTCTCTCAATTTTACTGCTTAAATATTATTTCTGAAAGCAAAAATGAAACTTTAAAACACTGAACTGAAGCTTTATTGGCCTTTAGCCCCATGCTGGCCCACCTCCATAAGTCAGAATTACACTTACTGATCTTGCTCCATCTCAAATGCAGTAGCTTAGGGCATGATTAGACAATGTATCTTGTTAATTTTTAATGTCAAATTCAGGAAATTCTGATATTTCCAACATTCATTTACACGTATTATAGAATCAGTTCTCACCATTTCTTAGTAGGACACCCATTTCATACCCACAACTCCTCAGGGTTTTTATATCTCCAGCTTCAAGAAAGAATGACTTTACAGCTTGTTTCTAAGATCCAGAGGATGATACCTATACCAAACCTGCCAAGGACACAAGCCCCATCCTTCCCCTAAAGTCAGCATGTGTGCTTTTACCTGGTGATGTCCCCTGCCCTGAGACTACCAAAGAATAGGAGTGTATGATTGTGTAAGACACAAGCTTAGATTTAGCTTTTATTCAAAGCAGCAAAGTATCGTGCCAGACATTTAGAAGAAAGGTCCAATGAAATCTTACCTTTAAAAAGGTTATCTGCCCCCTGCACTTGTTAAACACCATGATCTCATCTTTAATAAACCCATCCATTTCCCACATAGCTGTGAAAACCACTCACAGGCCTGCTTTCAGTGTCTGTGCCCGGCACACTCCCCACATTAGTTCACACTACCCTTTCCTCCTTCAAATGCCTCCTCAAACCCACAAGTGTCCACTGACACAGCTGCTAATGACTAACAAAGACCAATTCATCGTAACTACTGTTCAGATTACAACAAAATACTGACCAGAGTAATACTAAGGAAGGTAAAACCCAAGTTCAGAGCTCTTACCACACTGATAGCAGTGTGCAGCAGTTTTACAAGGAAGCTTTTGAGCTTTCCATCCATTACTGATGAACTCCCAGCACGCCTGCCACAAGCTGACAAAAGATGTGGCCCTTCGTGAGGGCCAGGGCAGTGGGTGGGTCTGTGCCAGCTCTGCTCCCTGCACTCTCTCCTGCAGCACTGACGAGGGGCAGAGGGTCCGTGGTAGCCACGGTGTCATCAGCAACCCCCCAGCCATCCCCACCCACTGCACATCTGCAGTTCCTTGTGTCTGGAGAGGTGTCAGCTTGATCCTGCTCGAAACCAAGCTCTGTCAATGCAAACAAATGACCAGCACATTAAAAATAGCCTTGTTGAATAAAGTCTGACTGAAAGTCATTAAAACTAGATATTGGGGAAAAAAACTAAAAGCACTGGCTGATGTAATGGGAACGACCACTTTCATTACAACTGCAGAAAAAAACATATCTTACCAAGACAGCAATGAATTAAAATTAATAAGAGAGACAGACATGGGAAGCTCAGAACAAAGACCCAGCAAACCACATCACATTAACAGTTGTCTGAGATCAACCAAGGTGCATTATCTTTCACTGAATAGTTCAAAGGTTTTGCCAAGACAAATCTAAAGGCCATCCCCTTTTCTGTACGGCCTACAGGAGATCACGGCAGTATTTTACCATATGGGACTTTGCAAAGAAAATTTCCAAACAAAACTGCTGTTTCCCCAGTTAATCCAAACCAGTTTCATTGTGAGACTTGAAGAACACTACTGTTAAAAAAAAGTGAGGACCTTATTTTACTGCAGGACAAAATAAATCCACCAAATCTCCAGCGTGACCCAGGACCATCCACAGCACGAGCTGTGCAACGCCCAAGACCTGCTCAGCTCTGCACGGACAGAAAGCTGTTGTGTTTTTGGCAGCAAAGGTGACACTGTGCCAGAGAAACACTGTCATTCCTCTAAGCTCACAATGCACTCAAACTTGGGAATGGTTGCTCCACTGCTCTCACAGGCAAGACAGAAGGACATTACTGAGCTAGACAGGCAGAATCAAAGGTCAAGAATGAGCTCTTTCACTGAGCTGGGATATCTCAGGATAGTCACTCAGCAAGGTATCACAGCTACATGACATTACCTACAAAAGCTCTGAATTGAAACTTTTAAATTACATTAAAACATATCAAAATGAGATTTCTTTTTTTTCCCCCTCAAATATTTTGACTAGTTAAAAAAAAAGCTGCTAGAAAAACAAAGAGGGCATTGTGCCTGCTTTTACTGGCTTATCCATACAAGCAGAAAATCACACATTCCAAAAGCAAAACAAAATTCTTCACAGAAACAAAGTGTAATCTTTTTAAAAGGCTTACATTAAGAGATAGCACTGTAGCTTATCAAACTCAAACTATGTCCCACTGTCAGTAAATATTTTTAACATTATTCATAAAATCCTACTAGAATTCCACAAGGCACTTACAGAAATCAAGGAAATATGTGGTATAATTCAGGCTACAATTAGTTAACTACAGGGGCTGCTTTTTAACTACCTCTACAAGCTGATTTGCTTCAATCAGTATTGTAACTGGCACATCTGCAGACAGGAAATCCTCAACACCACCGAGTTTCCCAGCCTATTATCTGAGACACCTGGTGTGGGTGTGTTGATACAGAGCAAAACAATGAATCATATGGACTGCACATCAATTAAGCAGCTTTAACTGTTAATGTGTTTGATCCTCATGGGTGGAGTGCCCATGTGAACACTAACACAGAAAACCCCTAAACCCTCAAACTCTTCATTTTGCAGTTTCTAAATATGGATTGTAACTCAAATCTACGACAAAAATTATAACACATGTAGTCCCTCTCTATCAAATTAGTGAGTGGACTCACATTGCAACAGTCTATTATGCAACCTTATTCCACTATAATTACACCAGAGAATTTTTTTCTTATTATTTCAATCTATAGCTCTTCTTTCCATCAAAAGTAAAAAAGACAAAAGTAACCCAATTGACATTGCACATGTGTGACTGCAGCTCTGTCCTTCCATAGCACCAGAGAATGCTTTGGCTTTTTTACCAGAAACTTGAGAAAATCAAACACAGTATTTAGAAACCCTCTTTTTGGAAACATATTCATCTCAGCTCATGAACATTATTCTACAGTTTGCAGGATTGTCACATCTCCAGGTAGCATAACCTTTTTTTGCTCGTGGCAAGCACCGGTCTCTTTGGTTGGTTCTGGTGAGAATAATCCATTATTACAGGCTGTTTCCACAGTCTATAGAGGCCCATTGCTTCTGTAGCAGTCAGAACAGCAGTCAGAGTAAGGAAAGGAACACCTCTGTCAAACCAGCAACCTGCTCTCTCTGTGGGTAACCAGGAAGACATAAAGCTGACTTACCCAGGGAACCCCTAAAGGTTCCCTGCACTGAGCTTGCATTTTTAGAGACAGTTACTTCTCTTTCTCTGAACTGGATGATGGCTGCACTGACAAACTTAAGCACCACAGTGTAGAAAAAGAAGAAATGGTAGCTCTTAACAGGATAAATATGCACTTGTAGTGAAGAGCTTCATGAGTAAAACAAAAGTATGGACTTGGAGGACACAACCTGCACCACAGAGCTTGCTGGAACTCACGTTCTTATTCTCTAGTAAATGGTCCCCATTTATTGCAGCTCATGCAACAGTAGGTACTATTGACTTCTTCCATTCACTGTAACTTTAATGCGTTTTTAGACTGTAAATGGACAAGTCAGGCATGCAAGAAAAGAATTAAGTAACTCTCAGTGTTTAGGTCACTAAGTATTTAATACACAGAAGAGTGGGGGCGTGTTTGGCCCCATACAACATGAAGTGTCTTCACTTTCAGAATAGAAAGCATTGCAAATAAATGTTAAGATAATCACATTTACCTACTGCCCACATCACAGTGTCAAAGGAATCAGTTTCTTCTGTGCCCAGGTCAGTATTTTTCCAGGTGACTTGCAATCTGTTGCTCTCCAATTTTTCAACTTTGGTTGGGAAACATCTCTTTAAAAACTTTGTGCCATAAGATTCCATGTGCTCAGTTACTAAAGATGCCATTTGCTGTTAAGTAGGGAAAAAAAATTGTTTATCCTCAGATAGATGACCTTTCTATGTAAAACCCTCCTTCAGCTGTGTTCAGGAAAATCCAGTAAGTACAGTGAGCATTTCAAACATTCCTTGTCCATCAGTTACAATGCACTGCCAACATATGATGATTTATGGAGCCACTACGACCTGCAGCTCCATTCCAAGAGGCATTTGTATCTGAATACTCAAATTATTTTCAAAACAGTAAAATGCTATGTGAATAGAACAGTTGCTTTTAAATCATTTGTTGTTTATACAAAAAGAGCACCTAGAGCATTTTCTGGCAGTTTGGTGAGAATTAAATACTTTCATAAAACAATGGAAGAAAAATACTTCCCTTTGCCATGACACCTGACATTTCCCTGCCACGACTATGAATCACTAAGGTTTCACAGCAGGTTCTACTACAGAAGGGAAATAATGCTTTTGTCCTAAGAGCCTGCTTGAAATAATGCCCCACCACACTGCAGCAGTAAAGTGTCCCACTGACAGCTTTATCCAAAGATATCAGTGCTGCTCTTGACTGCAGTGATTCGGGTTGCACTTTGTTAAAGAGTATGTTTATTACTTGAAGGATATTATCACAAAACCACTCACAGAAAACAACTACGTGCAAGCTCCCAGCTTAGAGGATTTTGGAATGAACTAACATGAAGGCCACAGCAGGCTTCTGTCCCTTCAGGAACACGAACTCAGTGATCAGCTGCCAGCAGGCTCAATGGGGCTGCAGACTGACCAGAACTATTTTCTATTAATACTTTATTAGCTTTGTATGTCCATTGTGCTCTTCCTGCCTCCAAAGGATCAGGTTCTCAGAGAAAGCTCCACTCCAAGTGTTTTACCAAGTGTCACACACACAGTTCCCTGCTGGCTCAGCCCTCCTGCTGGTACAGGTGGAATTTCTCCACTCAGGAGTGCAAATCCCAAGAACTGCTCTTACACAGCGTTTTGCAAACTCATGCCCCCAGTTTTAAGGTACAAAGCTGTTAGTTTCAAGGAAGCCACTTCAACTGGAAGTGGCTGGCACACAAGCAGGAGCTGTCAGTACCTGCTGTGGAACTTGTCACTGCTGCTTCTAACAGCAATACTGCCTCAAACCCCCTGCTCTGACATGGAAATAACTCTCCCACACACTGTAAGATGCTCCATACTTGCCTGATCAAACCCACGAAGTGGGATACTTCTCATCATGACTGCAGTGTCCAGTCCAATGCCTGTTAGAAAACCAGCACACTCAAGGGAAACATCTGGTAAAGCATCAGTTAGGAAAATACAAACAATAATGCCACGTAAACACAGTATAAAAGGGTAGTAAACAAGTGGGATTTTTACCTAAAGATACCAAGTTCTGCTCACACAGACATCTTTAGCTTGCTTTTGTACAGAATAAAACTTGGAAGTCTTAGAATACTTTCCTCATAGTTAATATTGGTTTTAAAATCCTGAGAGTTTATCCTCAGCTGACCTTCATTTCCACGATGGTACTGCATAGCAAACTATCACTATTCTCTCACCAACTCAACTCTATGGCAAGACCAAAGGGATTCCCTAAACTGAGCTTTCATAGGAAAGGCAGTGATGCTGCTTATGATCATAGATCATCTCAGGCTTTTCAAAGGATACAGCTGGCTCCAACAATCAACCTGTTACACAAACAGAAAAAAGAATAAAGCAGTGGAAGGAGCTGAAGCACATATAGTTATGTGCTGAAGCACATACAGTTGCAAAGCACATATAGTTACAAAATCCCAGGTGGGCATCACATCTGTCAACTGCCAGCCAGCTGGGACCTCCCTGGTTAGCCAGGACTGCTGGTGAAGGATGGCAGTGGCTCAGTGAGCTCTTCTGCCAGCTCCCTCTGCACCCTTGGGAGGATCCCATCTGGCCCCACAGACCTGTGCATGCCCAAGTGGAGTAGCATGTCCAAGCAGGTTGTTAACAATCCCTCCTGACTTACAGGGGCATCATTCTTCTCCCTGTCCCCATCTGCCAGCTCAGGGCTGGGTACCCAGAGAACAACTGGTCTCAACGGTAAGGACTGAGGCAAAGAAGGCATCGAGTACCTCATCCTTTGTCACTGCTTCCCACTGCATCCAATAAAGGATGGAGATTCTCCTCAGCCCTCCTTTTGTTGCTGATGTATTTATAGAAACACTTTTACTGGTTTTTACAGCAGTAGCCAGATTAAGTCCTAACTGGGCTTTGGCCCCTGTAATTTTCTCCCTTCATAACCTCATGACATCCTCAGAGTCCTCCTGAGATCCCTGCCCCTTCTCCCCAGGGCATAAACACTCCTTTTTTCCCTGAGTTCCAGCCAAAGTTCTCTATTCAGCCAGGCCAATCTTCTTCTCTGACAGCTCATCTGTCAGCACATGGGGACAGTCTATCAAGTAGATGATGCCTTCCCATCAACTAGATTACAGTTCTTATTACAGATTTTATTCATTGCTAAATTTCATTTTGATTTATAACCACCTGCTTTTTAATCATCTTATTTGTCCAAATGCCAAATATTTGCCCTTCCTGTCTCCAAACATTTGTGTACACAACTATAGAAAATGGGTTTAATAGGTTTACCTAGACTGGTATTTACCAAATACATCCACTATAGTTCTTAAATAAAACTCCAGCTCCCATCTCTCCCCATATTTCACACCCTTTCAACCAAGAATGTCACTGAAATTGTCCATCAACGCTTTCAGTTTATGAGGTGGATGAGCTCTCCAGCAGAGCAGTTTCTGTGCCTGTCCCCAGCTGCCCTCTACCCTGCACATCCCTCCCTCTCCTGACCAGATCCTCAGTTCCCTGCATCTGCTGGGACAAAGGCAGGGCGCTCAGTCCCCGTTCTGGAAGCAAAAGTGGGTCCAACCAGCCAGCCATTAACACTCAGCTGCTGCACAGACTGCACTTTGCTGTTTGTGTGCTCTGCAGAAGGGTTAAAACCTCACGCTTTGGGGATGAATCCCACACAGGATTTCCACTGACAACAAAGCACTTGGTTAAGTTTTTGAGTGGGCTTTTGCCCTGTGCCTTACCCTAAACCAGTGTGCCCCCTGTTGCAGTTGGAAGAGCAGTGCTTTCACACTCCTGAGCAGTGCAGACACTGGGGCTGCTGCTCTGTCAGCCCCAGGGACTGCACAGTCACTACAACACATGTTTTCTCACCAAAGACCCCAGATAACATCTCTCTATCCTACAATAAAAACATACAGCTCCTGAAGGTGTACAGAGAACAGGTTGAGCTAAGGTGATTAAAATCTGCTAGTCTGGGGTTTGTGTTTGGCAAACAACCTCACAGAGTGGGAACTCCTTCTCCCAGCATTAGGGCGTCTGATTCATGTGTGAGTGGATGACCAGCCCCTCTTTTGCCATGGAGCTCCTGGGAAGGGCTGCAAAATGCCCTGTGCTGCCCATAAAGAAATATCTGTTGGAGATTCCCAGAGAACAGAATATCTGTAATTTGGGCATATGTTTGCTCTTCTTTTTCAGAAGATGAAAAATAGATGTCAGCTGGCACTTACTCACAATATCAGCACCACATAATTCAGAATTTCTTGTTCAAAGCAGGGGGTTCCTGGGCGTTGTCACAGCCTAACAGAAAAGTCAGGAGAGCAGAACCTAACATTGTCCACACCTGCTCAATCTCTCACTCATTCTCAACACATTTCAAGGCATCTTTTCTAACTCACTCTGCCAAAACCCTTCATCTCAGTAGCGAGAATTTCTTCCCAATGTTTGTGTATCTAAGGGACTTTTAAGTTGGTTAACAGTTTACTTTTTTTTTAAAATATGAATAACTGCAGGACTGACAGTTCTATGACCTCCAGGCATGTAATTTGTAGCTGGGATATGTACATTTGGAGAGGGAGAAAAGAAAGAGTAAGCACAACACAGCTCAGACTAAAAACAAAAGGTGTTAAACTGAACCTTGGGAATATTTATAATAGAAATAAATCCGACAGAAACAAACCTTTAACAACTCCCTCCATTTGCTAAGACACAGCCTGATAAAGCACAGCAATGCTACTGTAGCCCCTGCAGGCTTATTTTGACTAAATCTCAGGAATGCAACATATAAACACTAGACTCCCACATTACACTGTTACAACTTGCATTAGCAGCAACTGGACAAAAGCCACATTTTCACAGAAACATCTTAGAGGGATAAATCTTATGTTTTGGTTTGTTTTTTGTTGTGGTTTTTTTTTTTGGGGGGGGTGTTGGTGTGGGTGTTTCTTCTTTAAAAAAAAACAATTTCCTCACATAAATCATGCTTGTAAAATTCAAGAGGTGACTGATATACGACAAACAACAGCAAATTTAATATTTTTTGAAATTGTACCAAGGAGCTTTGTTTATCTGTTTGATGCTTAACTTAACACAGTGCATTTTTTTTATTGTAGAAAATCACCACCACGAATGGTAACTCTGTTTTCTTTCAAAACCACCAGTATTACAGTTTGAAGTCTCTTTTTCTTATATATACCCTGCATTTCCTAGAATTCCTCAATAGAGAAAAGGAAAAATAGTATCATCTGACTTTCATGCCAGCAAATGTGCATTTCCTATCACAATTTTTTGCATCAGGAAATTTCTCTGCAGTGCAGTGTTGACTCAGAATCTTACTGTGCTGTAACAAAACCCAACAATAGTGTTTTGGTATTTCCATTAAAACCAATATTTTAATGCTTCAGGTAAACAACAGCTTTCACAGCAAAAGAAGTGGCAAAAGTAACCCCAATGGCTCATCATATTTTCTTAGGTTATCAGAACTGCCACCACTTAAGAGAACATAAAATTAAGCAGGAGTTTGCTCCCTAATCCAAGAGCAGTTTTGCACATTCCCGAGGTGAGGAACGGGAACAGAGCAGCCCTTGGCTGAGTTCAGGCTGCCCTCTTGTGACTCTGTGTGTAATCGCTGCAGCAAACAAGTCACCTCAAACTAACACGGTGAAAATTCCTATTTAACTTGATTTGAGAAGGGAATTTCACAAGAGGAGGAGGGGGCAGATCTATCAGGTCCTAATGAAGGTTGGTGGTGTGATGTTGATGCACAGCAAAGCGCATGTTCAGAAGGAAAACAGAAATAAAACTGGTGTATAAAAGGCAATTTTGAACATTTTTCACCCTGCTATACAGAAAAAGTATGCCAGCAGCATCTAGGAAAGCCATGGCAAGGGAACTCACGTTTTTCCAGGAGACTCTTTCAGCCAGAACAGATCGTCACTCGTGATTCCATACTGCAGGGCACCTGCAATCTGGGAGCACATGGGTAAGATTCTGCACCTGCAAGGTACATCCTGGCAGCAGCAGCAGCAGCAGCAGCAGTAGTGTGGGCTGCACTGGCTGAGGTACAGCCAGCACACCAGGGGACACAGCTGGGGTTGCCCAGAGCTGTTAGCCAGTCCCTGTCTCTGCAGATCCCCAAACAGCCCCGAGCAGTGTGACCTGACTCAACGGCTGAGCCCAAGCTCCTCGAGCAGCACCTGCAGAGACCACTTCCAACATGAATTATCCCACAGCTCTAAGCAACAGCAACAGACTCAGCTGATGCAAATTGTTTGCTGTGGAAATGTTTTTCTAAAAAGCTGACCTTTATGTAAAGACAAATTTTCATATGACAGGAGTAAAAAAAAAAAAAAATCTCTCCTTACTTTATATTTCCATTTTCCAAACATTCACTGTGATCTGCAACACAACCAGCAAAGCCATGGGGGTTGTCAGATGGAAGGGTAACTTACGTGTGTAGGATACTTTGGTCTTCCTCCAGTAGCAATGACAATATTATCTGCAGTAACAATAGTCTACAAACAAAAATAAAAAAAAAATCAAAATCAACCATTTGAAACCCTTTTATCTGTCTTTAGACTTCATCTATGTACAAAGGAGTAATAAATGAGAAAGCTGGCACTACCATCTGCTATTTATAAGACATAATCAGCAGTGCATTAAAAAAAGGATGAAGATAAAATAAACTAACACATGCAGGAGTTTCTCCTACTCGTTCTCTATCAGGTTTTGTTCTAATACTAACCTTGCAATTGGAGCCCCTGGTGGTCTAATGGAAAGGCGCCGCGCTGTCACCGCGGAGACCCGGGTTCGATTCCCGGTCAGGGCCACTCCCGGGTAGGTGGGGCTCGTTAGCCCTTAAAGGCAACCCACCTACGTCCTAAGGACCTCACTGCCACCGTCCAAGCTCGCTTGGCCCCGGCAGATGAACCTTAGGATTAAAGGGTGGGCTCAGTTCTGCGCACACTGTGTCTCACCTAAAAAATCCAATGCGCAGGCTGGAAGGTGGAAAGACCTTCCCCGGATCTTCGCTCGCGAAGACTGGCCATTATTAACCTTGCAATTGTTCTTATACTGAGCGAGATTCTGATGACTACTTGGAAGCAATAGTTATGAACAAACAACAACTTTTTAAAACCAATTTCTGCTTAGGACAAAACACACCAAGATCACTGTAAGTCAGGCCTGGAGTTAAGCTACCTCAAAGGCAGCATGTTTTTAGAAAATCCTAGACATCTACCCCCAAAAACCTTTGCTCTCTCAAAGAGATATTAACTCCAAAAAGGTGTTAAAAATGCATGTTCAGTCCTTGCTAAATATGCAGCAGTGGCCACCAATCCTCTCTGTGGCCCAGCTGCTTGAATCTGTGCATTCACTGTAATTGCCTCCCACACACAGCTTGGTATTGGAAAGCTGAAACATCCCAGACTGACCTAATGCTCAGAGATGTTGGTTCTCTTGACATTTCTGTGAGCATCACTATGACTGACCAAATCAAATAACGTCTTTTGCCTCAGCATTTCCATCTGCAGAGAAGAGCAATGGCACCTAACAGGTCAGGCCAGGGACTCAGTAGACAACAGTCAAGTTCATGAACAACTTCTCTAGGTGGAAAATGCAAATCTCCCTCACCAAAACAACACTGAATACCTAAAGCAGTTTGAAAAGGGCCAGTCTAACTCCCAGCTGCCCTGAAAGGTTGAACAGCACTGCAGAAGTAGCACAGCAGCTCACCTCTTTACCTGCTTTTGTCAAACCACGGACCGTATGGGGATCACAAAAACTCCCTTTCATGTTGAGGTATTTCACCTTCCTGCAGAAGCAAACAGCATCAGCAATGCACACTTAACAAACAACAGGTATGAAATACAATCAGCTACTTTTTCCATGTCAGAAGTGCTAAAGAAGGCAGCAAACAGGCACAGAGCAGTAAAAGGAACAAAGCATCTCATTTCATGGCAGTTCTATCATAATTTGCCACCTAATTCTGTGTCACAGTTGACTCCTCTATACAGCAAAGTAACTAACCTTGTAACACACTTTGGGATCAGGTTTATTGACCTCTTCAAATGACATTTTCCACTAGCTATAGCATTACTAGTACTATCTATAGCATTACTAATACAATGTTCATTTAGGGCACAGAAGAGTGACTCAGCAGGAGTCACAAGACTAGAACCTGCTAAATTTTCTATTAATATAATTTCTCTATTAAAGGAACTGCATGCTGAAAAACTTGGAACACTTTCTGCACTGAAAGCAAAAAAAATCTGCTGCTCTAGCATTGTGTTATCTGTGGGTTTGTACGGCACAGAAATTCTGGGGGACAAGATCAGAAGTATCTTCAGAAACCCCGATTACTTCATATTAATGCAAAACTCCAGATTAAAGAGAGCATCCCCTGATCACTGCACTGCAAGAAAGCTTTCAGGTATGCTCACTGCCAACCACTGCTTCCCAGAAAAGAAAAGGAAGGTGGGAGGGGAAGAGAACACTTACATTGACAAGGGCACTTACAGTCCTGAGCAGAAAGGACTTACAAACTCAAAATACTGTCTCTAGTGAGGAACCTCAAAGGCAGTTCTGCAGCTCTACAAGAGCAGCAGCTCCTTGCCTATGGGAAGACAGATGAACTTCAAAGGCTTATTTACTTGTCTTGTAGTTGCACTCTGTGTCCCCAGTTCAAGGATTTCACATAATTCTGAACAGCTTGTGCCATCACAGACCTGCCACAAAACAAGAAAGGGAACATGAAGCCATCATTTTGCAAATCCACATTATGCAACTCAAAGATACAGGCCATTGCTAGAAATTAGGAATGTTCTACAGTACTTTTTGTTATAAAAAGAAATTATCAAGTCCAAGTCAACACACCTGCCCTGAGAAACCAGTAAATACAGCTCTTTGTTTTAAACAAGGACCAAGCTAAAATTTCACATGCAAAATTCACTTCCCTAACTGTCCCCAAGAAGCACCAACTGTGAAAAGTTGGTTATTGTTACGCATTTGCAGCACACAGGAGTGAAGAGGGGCAATCATCTTTACCAGCTATGATGAACAGGGTGGGCTACGTTCCAGCCATAGTGTGGGGCATCTTTAAGGGCACTCCCTAAAAGGGCTGCTTGATGCATAAGCTTTTTAGGAATGCAGCCAACATTCACACAAGTTCCACCAAGTCCCCATGTGGTTCCTGGGGAGAAGGAAAAAAAGAAAGAAAAAAGTAAAGGCGTCAGATTAGTGTAACAGTGCAACTGGGTTCACAGCAGCTAAACAATTCTGTAACAACACCCACTTTGTTATCTCCTAGAGATCAGTTTCTAACCTTGTTTATGTTCATTTGCTTTGATAAAAACCATCTCTGTATATTTTTCTTCTAAAATTCAAACCACCTCAAGATGTTTCTCAGAGCTCTGAAAATCCAGTCACTGATCATTTACATTTACAGATCTTATTTTATACACTGTACACGAAGAGCCTCAATATGATGCAATTCATAATTTTTAGAAATTTTAAATAACCTTTTGACAGAAAGAATATTCTCACTTATTTAAGTCTAAAGTCTACTACAAATGGTAGCATCAAACACTGCTAACAAGCTTAATGTGCAGGGGAAGCAGGAACAGCAGGGACATCCTGGAGAGCATGAGCTGCGCTGCAAGCTGGGCTTAAAGACTTTCACTACAAGCAAAGCAGGCAGCTTTGGCCCCGTTGCTGTCTGGAACAACCTGCTCACCGAGGCAACTGCGTTACATGCATTTCCAGCTATTATTACCCCATTATTTCTCATCCATACCTTGTGGGGAAGGGTCCACATAATCCAAAACAGCCACTTTTCTTCCAAACTGAGCAGCTTTAAACAATAAAGCAAGATGAGGTATTTAGAGGAGGGAGAACCACACAAATCTAAACATTTTTAGCAGCACAGGTACAGATAAAGAGTACAGGAGGTGATGTCTGGTATCTAACTCAAGATACCACACCAGGGACCCTACCAGCCTATGTGGTCAGCAAATTCTCCAGAAGACACTTAATAACCCAGAGTAGAATCTCCAGCTTCCACCGACCCTAAAAATGCAACCTGACCTCAAATGAGAGGTTCAAGAACACTGTGGGCTGTTGAACATGTTACACTGAGCTGCAAAGGGCCAAGGTTCTCTACAGCAGTTAAACAGTCCTTGGAAACAGCCTGAAGGGATTGTTGTTTTAACACATAAATGAGAAATGGTATCATTAGAAATCCTTACAGTATCTATTACTTGGAGCATTTTACAACAACAGTGAAATGAAAGCTTGTTACATTTTCCCATGACAAATGAAGAAATATTTTTTAAAAGGTTAACAAGAAAGCCAAACAAGATCACCCCACCTCAGGGTGTGAATTCATTTGCAGATTTACTGAATGGAGCTGAGTTAATGATTAATGTGCAGGTACTGAAGTATACTGTGTTTCTTAAAAAGCTTTAGCATTATCTGTAACACTCCCCTTAGCTTCCTTAAACATCACTGAAGCTAAACCAAATTATTTATACATACAGACCTTCTTTTGCACAAGCAAGGCCTCCAGACCCTCCACCAATGACCAGAAGATCATACTCATTCTTTCCTGTGAAGAGGATGTGAAGACAGAAGAGACAAGGCAGATGGGAGAGGTATGTAAGGGCAATATCAAAGAGCACGCTGCTTTTTACAATTGATTTTTGCTGATTTGGGTTTTCTTGGTTGTACTGTGGCACCGTGTTTCTTCACTAAACTATCTGGTCTGGTTTTGTGAATGAAATATGGAAAACAGAGCAGCTCAAACAAAGCAGGAAAATAGATTTTTACACCCTGTCTCCAGAAGCTCTTCCTGCATAAGGAGACAGTGGCGGCCGGGATCCGCCAGGTCTCAGTAGCACAGCAGAGGGCCCTGACAGAGGTTTGTCGGCCTCGAGGCCCGGGCGTGCCGGCCAGGGCGGTGTGAGGGAAGCCGGTCCTGCCACACCCCGGGCTCCCCGCGGAGCAGCCCCGCGTCCGGCGCGGTGCGAGGCGGCGGAGAAGCCGCAGGTGAGCCATGAGGGCCCAGCACGGCTCCTGCTGCGGGGCTGTCACCAGCAGGGCGGGCAGCGAGCGCCCGGCCCCGACCGCGGGCCGGCAAGGGCGGTACCGCCGGCCTCGGCTGCTCGGGCAGCCCCGTCCCGCTGCACAGCCCTCACGGGGGGCCGCTGACCCTCAGCGAGGGATGGGCCCCGGCACAGGCACCGCGGCGGCTCCCAGCGCCCTCACGGGGGAGGCACCGACCCCGCCTCACGGAGGGGACAGCGGGGAGCGGCGCGGACCCCACGGCGGGCGGTGGGAAGGGCTCGGGGGACCCTCCGCGGGCAGCGCGTACCTGAGAGCGGCCGCAGCGAGCGGCACAGCCCCGGCACAGCCCCCGCACGGCCCCGCGTACCTGAGAGCGAGCGGCACAGCCCCCGCACGGCCCCGCGTACCCGAGAGCGAGCGGCACAGCCCCCGCACGGCCCCGCGTACCTGAGAGCGAGCGGCACAGCCCCCGCACAGCCCCGCGCCGGGCCCGCAGCGCCGCCATGGCGCACGGCCCCGCCATGCCGCCCCGCGCCGCCCCGCAGGACCCGCGGGCTGCCCGCGCCGCGCCTGAGCCGGCCGGGGCAGCGCTCGGCCCGAGCCCTCGCGGCGCTGGGGAGGGCGGGCGCGGATCTGGCGCTGTACGAGCGCGTTTGCGTTAAAATCAGACCTTTGGGAGGGAGAACAACCCAGCGCAGTTTGCTTGACAGGCTTCCCCCCAGGTGCTGCTGCAGCAGCAGGGGTTCGGGGAAGGCTCTTTGGGAAAGACTCCAGGCAGGTCGGGGCCGGAGGAGCGGCTCCCTCAGCGCCTGAGGCGGGAGCGATGTGAGGCAGGGCACCCGCGGCTCCAACACCTTGGGACTGCGGGACAGACACCGGCACGGGAGGAGCCGTCAGAGCCCCGGCAGCCTCTCCTGTCCCTGAGCCGCAGGGCAGCTGCCGATCAGCCCGGCAGAGCCGCTCCGCAGGGCTCTGTTAGTGCCTGCGATGCCTCCGGCAGCCCCAGTCAGAGGCCTCAGAGCAGGCACTGATCGAAACAAAAGCAGGTTTGTGTCGGGAGGCCGCGGGCTGTTGGCCTTCAGCACAGTGCGGACCCTGCCCACTGCTGCAGGGGTGGTGGGACCTGCTAAACGCCACCACAGCCGGGTCGGAGCTGGGGACAACAGAACCGGCCACTGTTTCTACAGAAAAAAAGGCTTTAGGAAGTCGCTTAGGTTCAGTCTGTGGAGCAGGAGCCCGGCTCACAAGAGGGCAGCATCCAACCATTTTGTTTCAGACACCACCAATCCTCTGCTCCACAGCTGAGGAGAAATGGCAGAAAATTAAAATACACAATAGAAAGTTTTGTAGATCTGAAATAATCTCCATCACAGCCTGATAATTTTTGTTCACTCTGTCAGTGTTTGAAAATACTTGAAATGGGAATTTCTATCCCTTTAGTAAGTGGATTGATGACTTTCTCCAGTATCACCGCTGTTAAAAAAGCCCCAAACACAAGAAAACCAAAGGCAGACTCTTACCTCCTGCAGCACAGATCAATAAATCACAAGAAACACTCTTACCCACTAAAACAGCATTAGAAAGACATGCCTAGAGTGTACTGAGGGGCCTTTGAATTAAAGAAACCTAAAGCATATTCAGACACTAATCTTTTATGCTTTTCAGGTACATGCATGCAAAGGTGTTTTCAGCTTTTCATTTTAGCCTCTGTTCTGAATTGAAACAGGCACTGTTGAGCATATGCTCTTCACACAAATTTAGTTCTGACAAGTCGGATCAAGGGTGGAATTAAATCTCCACAAACACAAACCAAGTTTATATGAAGAAAAGTCCCTGCAGCACTGTGGTGTTTTGCTAAGAAGGAAAGGCCTCAAATGTAGCAAAGCAAAGCGAAACTAAATTGAAAAATGAAAGGCAGGTGGGGTTGGCCTCTTCTGTGTCTCAAGTGAAAGGATGAGAGGAAATTGCCTTAAATTGCACTGAGGGAGGTTCAGATTAGATATGAGAGTAAAAACTTTCATTGAAAGAGTGCCAGGCAATGGAATAAGCTGCTCAGGGGGGAGATGGTGTCACTGTCTGTGGAAATGTTCAAGAGGTGTCTGGATGTGGCACTTAGGAACGTGGTTTAGGGGTGATTATGGGGGTGCTGGGTTGAGGAGGGACTAGATGATCCTGAAGGTCTCTTTCAACCTTGATGATCCTGTGAAAGCTGTTGATAGAAACCATTATCTTTGAACAGCACCTGAAGTGGCAATTTAGGAAAGAAGTGATGATAAATTTAGAGTAAAGCTTCTAAACTCTTTGAAGGGTAGGATCTTGGCCAAGTGCCCATCGAAACAGCCCCATTGTACACTGGCGTTGCTTTCATGGTTTTAGAGCTCAGAGTCTAAGGGAACCACAGCCTTCACAGCCCTGGTGAGATTGTAGTTTCTTTTAGAAGTGTGTGTTCCCAAACATATCAACACACACTTTTCTGTGTCAGTTGAGAGCCAGTCAGTTGCTTTCCCTTGGCATCCTTCTTCAGTCATCTGGGAGCCACAGGTGTCCGTAGTGCCACTGTCAGACCGTGTGCAGTGGGTGTCACCAGCCCTCTGGCCGTACCCACAGCTGGAGAGAAAGCACAGTGCAGTTCCACAGGCTGCAGGGCAGAGCACAAAGTCTGCGTGGGGTCATTCCACTCGTCCTTGCTCATCCTCACAAGTTCCATCCTTGAGGCCGATGGAGGCAAAGAGCAGCGATGAGGAGTGGGTGACACCATCCTGGTGACACCATCGGGCAGAGCAGGAGTGGGCTGTGCTCCTGGTGACACCATCGGGCAGAGCAGTAGCCCCTGCCACTTGCTGCTGTCAGCTCTGAGCAGGTGTGTCTGTACTGCACTTCCAACATCTTGATCAGGGACCAGAGATGGATGCTGGTTATCAGAGGTGGTTTCTAATGTGTCTTTGGCTCAGCTCCTATGGCTTCCTCCTCCTGTTTTAATTCTTTTGTGGTTAGCATTATGTTGATTAGGTAATTAGTGATACATTATTTTTACATACATATATATATATTAATTTCTTCCAAGAAAAAAAGCATTAAGTCCCTTAGTGGCAAATACATTCTAGTATCAGGAATTGTTTATATCAAGCCTTGTGTTTCTCCAGTGAAAGAATATACTTTCAAAACCCGAGATTAAAAAAACTTCTTGCAAGATAGCTATCAGATTTAACATCATATTTCCACAGATTTTTTTTCAGTTTTAGCTATTCATATTTAAAGTCATAAATTAACTTATACATTAGATGTGGTTTGGTTTATTTCCAGGGGGAGATGTTTATTCACTGTACTTTAAACAGTGTGGTATTAAAAGGGTGAAGGAAACATCCTGATTTAGAAATGTATATAAATCCATTCGACAAGAAAAGATGCTTTGTAAGTCATGAATTGGTTTTGGTAACAGGCAAACTTTCTCCTTTTGAACTTGTTGTAGAGACAACCTGGAATTCTGTATGTTTTTTTTCCTTTGTATGAAATACTTTTACTTACTTTTATCCATGGCTCACTTAAATTCTTCCTCATGAAGATGACCAAGACTAAATACTTTTTTTTAACCAAGCTTTTTAGAAATGTTGACTTTTCAAGCACATCTTCTCGTCTCTCCTGTTTTTCTGGCGTGGTTTCCTTTCTGTGTTAAGTTCCCGGATCAGCAGCTTGGCAGGCTGGAGGAAGCGAGAGGTGTCAGGTAGATAAAGTCTTTGGAAGTCATCACATTGTTTCCTTTTTAGTGGCTGGGGTGGGGAATTGATTCTCTGAGAGGCTGCATTTTGTGGCATGACCTAATTAATAATTGACAGTGGAGCCAGTAAGCTGTACTGGAGCAGGGGTGGACTCGGCGGTCTCTGTGGGAGGTAGGATGTTTGGTTTCTTACCATCTCTCCTGATTAACTGCATGTGCTGTTTGATTTCTTTCTGCACCCTTGTTTTCCTCCGCTGGTGTGCAGTGTCCTTAGCAATGGGGAAGGAAAGCCTGCGGAAGGAAGGCATGGCAGAAGGGGAATGCAGAAGTGGGAATAGTGACACAGTCCCTGGCACCTGAGAGAACCATATCCCAGGGCTACAAAAAGCTTGGTGGAGCAAGAATTCTCCAGTATTGCTTTGCCTTGGCATGAAGGAATCTGTGGCTGTTTGCTTACAGTCCAATTCTGCTGTAATTTGCTGCATTTTTGGTATTTGTTTTTAAGAGCTTTGACAAATCAGTCTTTAGGAGAGTTAAAAGTCAAACAGATAAGGGAAGAAAATGGCTAATTTTGGTTTATGAGACTGAGGTGGAGAAATTGGATTTCCATGTGGAGTCTGCAAAGTTTTTAACATTTTGTTAAGATGGGACAAATTAATTACTCAGTTAACTAATAATTTGTTTATGTAGGGTCTATAAATTTATCTAAAACAACTACATTGAGGTAAGAAAAGTATAGGCACCAGAGAAATTAATTTAATTTAATTTAAATTCCATTTAAAAATGTCATTCTAAAAGCATGTATTAGAAGGGTTGGTGTTCTAAGTGCCCCAAAGGGCATCTTGTTATAAAGAATACATCCTTCAGCTAATGGTGTTTCCTCTGCTGCAAGCATTTGTGCCTGAGTTCATTAACCAGCAGCAATAGTTGAACATTTCAGCTGTGTTGCTATTTTCCCCCTTGTTTGCTTTTGCTTTTTTTATTATTTCCATACATTTGTCTGAGAGGATGAGCCATTGTTGTTCAGAATTTAATCTATGCCATTTTATTCCTTCCCTCCTTAAGACAGATCTTCTGTTCATAGTTTGTCCTGAACAACTAATTGATTTTAAGTAAGGGAAAGAACCAGCAGAAACAGATGAAGCCTCAAGGAACACCAGTTCTTGACTTCATTCAAATGCTTCAACATATATTACCAAGTAAAGCAAGGGGGGAAAAGACAGGCATGGGGTAGACTTAGCTGCTTCAGGGTTTTTGTGAGTAGTTATAAAGTCTTTGAAAGCTGAAAGTGTTTTTCAGTCTGCACGTTGGCCTTGTAAGATGCACAGTAAACACAAAATAGTCCAAGCACTCCTATTATCTGCTCAAATTTAGAGCACAACTTTCTGCTCATCTCTCTTCTCCTGTAGCTGTTTCCTGTTTTCGATATGGCCAGGCAGTTAGCTGATTCAGACATAAGTGGTGCTTCCTTTCTCTTTTGCATGTTTCTCAGCAAGAGAAACTAATTTGGCTGTAAAAAACAGCAAATTCCCATAAAAGAAAATCCCTCCTGCTATTCTGAAAATGCAAACTCAAAAGAATTTTCTTCCACTCAGTGTTTCACGTGATCTGCGGGTTTATCATAATGTGCTAGCTCTCCTGTCTGCCTTTGTTTAGGCTTTTAAAAAGCAGTCTTTGGCCAGGATTATTAGAGGCAGGGAATGCCGTTTGTTGCTGTGCCAGGCAGGGATTTACTGGGGAGAGCTGGGTGCTGTGCACAGCAGTGGCAGTAGCACTGCCACCTTGTCCCGTGGCTGCAGCTGGGAGCTCTGCAGCGGAGCAA